TAAAAAAGTAATTTGTTTATCTCGTCGGCAGAAATTGCTGGAGAAAAAGTTGTATTCTTCAATCGTCCCTTGCATTAGTACATGTCGACTTCACATAGTTCGTAATCAATCATTACTGAAGCAGAAACTCCCCGCGCGAGTCGACCGAGCTCCGACCGCTTAATCATCTACGTATATTTTTAAATGAGATTTTTCCACGACCTCAACATCACAACAAGGGATGATGTTCATTACTCGCACAGGTAATGATTAACAAACATTGCATGAACGGAGGAGTGATAAGTTTACAATGCTTGTAGTAATGTAAAGAAGAAGTACAAAGAGATAAAATTACCTACGCCAAATGGCTACATCTGCTTAGAGCATCGTTTTCGCCATTTCAATAAACCAAAAATTAATTGACATTCACCAGCAAGCGATCTCTACATACAATAATAGCGATCCACCCCGGCTTCGCGCTGGTGCATTGTAAGTGCTGTAGATCTACTAATATTACTAATGTGGTGTCAGCGTGGAGTAATTAATACTTGATAAGACAGGATATCTTTATATAGAATATTTATAGGCCCGCTCTGTTCCTGCCGGACGCTACCACCTGGTACGTACGTACGGCCCGACGCTGCTACTTTCCTCCACATTTAAAATCTTTGATATCAACTAATATATTCATTTTAATGACATGCTGTAAAGGGCACTTTTGATATTTATTAAATGCAAAACGTTTCTAATGTAAACAAGTTAGAAGTGTTGTGCATTTAATGTATTGGATAAGGAATAATACTGTTCTGTTCAAAATAGCTTGGTAAATAACCCATTATTTTTTTTTGTAATATGTAAAAGATGAAAATAGTTATAGTGTGTTAACCTTAGGAGATAGACATATACCATCGCGGCATAAGCAAAAGGGATGTGACAGTGACCACCGATCGTGCGTCGATCCTAAGGGTCGTAGTGTAAATCATATCTTATATGTAGGTATCATACAAAGAAGGAGCCAATAACCTTCCGCAATCAATACTCAATCCATCAAATATAAGAATATCTATTCAAATCGCACTAATAGTTTCAGAGATCAGTGTTTTAACATACAAATAATAACACTTTGGTTGGTTTGCTTACCTGTATTCTGTTATTATAGCATTCTCGTACCTTTGGAATATTTATTAAAACAATATCATCATCCTGCACTTCGAAATTTATAAGGTTTGTTTATATAAAACATTTGTTAATATAAATCTGATCCACGAATCATCTATGATTCCTAATTAAACAAAGGAATATTGGATCAGTTCTTAGATTAATCATTCCCCACGTTACCTTTGCTTGTACTTTAGACAGAAGCATTTTCTAATTTTGCGTAATACTTGTATAAAAATTCATGGTGTTTTCTTTTCTGTTTAAAATAAATAAACGCCTATTTATCTAAATATTTTGTTAGTACCTAATTTAACAAATAGTTTGTTTAGCAAAATCTTATACTCGTACTAGCCTATATAATACGATACATTAAGGCCATCGCTTGACCCAGCTGCTTATCGAAGTGTATCGTTAAACTGAAGTAGGGTAACGATTAAGGAAAATGGTTTTCATAACATAAACGAACAATCGAAACGACTTGGTAACAGTGTCCTGTGTGTAGTTAAGTGAGTCGACAACTTCTTCGTAATTTTATGTAATTATGATTTTAGTTTTGTAAGCAGATCTATTAATTCCTTTTTTTCTTTTTTCCTTTTTCCATACATTATTGACATCTAAACGGAAGTTCGTTTATGTCTTTACGACAGCTCTCTGGGGATTTAGATTTGACAAACTGTATGAAATCATTTTGTACTGCCTCCTGGGATATTTTTTATCACGTAGAAAATTCTCTTAATCACGAAAAAGATGCCGTAGAGTTACAACGGTTTCTCGTGCAGTGTGAGTTCCTGAGTTATCATGGAGCACAAGTGGTGAAGATTGATTCACGAGTCAGGTCCTTAATTCTGCTATTTACGCCAGGCCAGTGTCATACCACTGACACGCTATTGAGATGCCATCGAGTGGCCATTGGCATCGGTATAAATACGGTAGTTGAAAATATATTACGTTTTTTGAGGAAATTATTTATTTATTTTTATTATAGTAAATTATTAAAAGAAATAAATAAATTGAATTAAATTATTTAAAAAATAAGTAAAAAAAATTATTGAAAAAAAAAAAATCATTCATCACCTTATAATTTGAAAATATATTTATTTTAATATTATTTTTATTTTTTTATGTTAACAATTTATTTATTTCTTTTTTTTATAATTTTTATATTTTAATTTCTCATAATTTATTTTAATTCATTTAATTATTTTAATAATTTATTAAAATAAAAATAAATATATAATTTCCTCAAAAAACGTAATATATTTTTAAATTATAAGGAAATTATTTATTAATTTTAATATTTTATTATATATTTTTCATAATTTTATTTTTTAAATATTTTTTTTTTTTTTTTTTTTTTTTAATAATTTAGTATAATAAAAATACAAAAAATCATTCCCTCAAAAAACGTAATACATTTTTAACTACCGATATTTATGCCGATGCCAATGGCCGCTCGATGGCATCTCAAAAGCGTGTCAGTGGTATGACACTGGCTTGGCGTGAACATAAAATAGCAGAATTGAGGCCCAGGGCTGTTTCACTGCCAGTTTCGCCATCATTGCTCGAAGTTCGGCGCAGTAAACATCTGCTGTTGTTGCCTGACCAGACCTGAGAAAATAATAGTGGATAACACCATGAAGAGACCATCTAACACTTACCTTTTTATTAGTAAGCTTTGCTTTAGGGCACTGTTGTGGCGTTTGACCTGGGGTCAGCCATTGCAATTTTCGTTTAGTTTCTCACGAAAATCTCACACCATGAAGGTTTTATGTCAATTCAAATTATCTATTACTATACAACGGCAATTTCATACTTGAACCCCTATTATTAACTTATAATTCACCTATTTTTATCTAAGTTACAAAATCAAATCGAGAACTTACTAAGTAGGACATATATTAAAAAGCATACCTACATATAATAAACGTATCAGAGAGAGTTACAGTTAACGAAGCATTCAAGCGTGTGATTACTGAATTAGTAAGTAATTACAAACGTTTGAAGTACTCTGGTCCCAAATTAGAACTAGTTTTTAACCCCCGACGCAAAAGTGACGGGGTGTTGTATCAGCCGCGGAGCAGTCGTGCGGCGACGCTCTTGTTTAGTCCGTACATATTTAGCGCTGCGATCACTCCGATATTGTTTCTGCAACATATTAATATCATACTGTATGGATTCCACTTATATAGTTAATGAATATATATTGCTATACTATTACTGAAAGAAAGTTCGGCAAAACTACACAAAAAGTAAAGCAACATACGACTTAAATCATCATTACTTTTATAGGAGTTATGTAATACTCCTGTTTGTTCCCTTTCTTATCGTAATAAAGGTACATCGATTTTTTTAAATAAAGGTAACATTTTTTACATTGAGCCTAAAAAAATGGATTTGCCTTAATCTCGGTATGTGTTATGTATTGTGTTGCACTAGTTGCACTTCAGTTCACCTTCAGTTGGGTTGCTAACCCAACTGAAGGTTGTGTATTAGTTTCATACAAGAGCCTTGCAAAATTATAACGATACTAAACATGATCTGGGGTAATGTTATTTTGCACGAGCTAAAATATATGAAATCTATCCTTCAAATTATATAAAAACTGACTGTCCGTGTGGTGACGGATTGAAAATACGGAATATCACTACCCCAATTCATCCCGTGGGTGTCGTAAGAGCAGACTAAGGGCGCAAAACAACGTAGGATAATAGCACTACAAAAAGAAGGCAACCTTGACACAAACCCAATACTAACCCGTCTGGCCAGCGTGGTATAGTAGGCCAAAACCTCCTTTCTAAGGAGAGGCCTATGTCCAGCAGCTTCAGATATATTCTATGCATCAGATATACATTATTGGTCTTATAATAATATTATATGATGGTTTAAACTCCTGTAACTGTAGCTATTGATGTTTAGTTTTAAAATTGACCGGTCCCTCAGTTACGGGCTGACGTAACAATCTCACTAACGAATAATGGTGTGTATCAAAACACAATCTTGAGCCTCTCCCCTTTCCACTCCTCTGTGTTTACGACGCGTGTAATACGCGTTTAGGTAAGGCTGTAGCTATCCGCCGGGTGTTGATTTATGTAACAGCAAACTTACGTGTTGCTCCTCGTGTTAGAAAATCTAATAGAATAACTCATGTTATGTTTGCAATAATCTGTGGTACTTACACAAAAAAAAACACTTCTAACGATGCGGTTATTGCTTTTTTGCTCAAGTACTTTAAGACATGAATGAATTAATTTGTAACGATGCTGGGCTGTCTGTGAATTTACTACCTTTGAACATGAAGTACCGTTTATGTAATAGCGTTATGTACAAGCATTACTTACTATCAGAAGCTGTGGACACATATTATTTTTGTGTCGCATTGATCAAAAAATTACACATATTTTTAGTTCTGAGACATTATTGTACAATATGGTTTGTGTTCCTTAAAATAAAATGCAGTGACTTAAAGGTAGTTTATAAAGTCACCTTGACTTCAATTATATTTGAAGATTTGTATAGGTATACACATTGGCAATGAGCGTATGATATATCCCAGCTGGCCATAATTAAAAATGAAACTCTATTCATAAAATATGGTAAGGGGCTCGGACTTAGCAGCCACTGATAAGTTTTAATGTTATGGTCCAATTGTGTCTAACATACGTGTGACCATCCTCATTAACGTAACCTTTTTATCCAAAAATTTAAAAAATAAACCGACGTCAGCCGGTACCGAGTGTACGTCAAGTGTCAAGATTATGTTAATGGTTTTGATGTTGTAATCACAATGAGAGATTTTTATTTGTTTACTTTTCTATTGTAATTTGTTTTAGAAAGTAATATTTTAAGTCATCGCTGGTGAAGTGATGGTTGACAACTTACCGCTCATTCCTGACAAAGGGTTAGAATTAATTGAATGCATACAAATACTCAAAACTACTTTTATAAGAATCTCTAAGCAAAAGGCTGGTTTTCTTCTATGTGTCTACTAATTGTTGGAAATTTTGAGCATTATACCGAGTTGACTCGTTTTATAAATGTCGTGGAAATAATAATTTTTAGATTCTGATGAGAAATTCTTAATCTCTATTCCATATTATTAGTGTATAGTATATTTTTATATTATTAGTGTTTAAGTAGACAAAGATATGTGAACTGGCTAGGTTTGATTAAATCAGATATTTATCGTAGTGACACGAAGTAAGTAACAAGATAAGTTAATTAATTCTTACAATTTCTTGTGATTTCAATTCTATTCTCGGTGGTGCTATGGTAACGTATGCGTCTGCTGTGCTGAGATCTCGGGTTCCATTGCCGGGTCAGACCAAATGTTTGTATGATCTGAAAATATTTGTTTTGGAGTTTGGGTGTTTTCTATGTATATTGCATTACAAATGATCATCGAACAAAATAATATGTATGTATTTATAAAAAAAAAGTATAAAAATATGCTATCAGTCCGTGTGGTGATCGATTAAGAATACAGAGTGTCACCAGCCCTATTCATCCCGTGGGTGTCGTAAGAGCCGACTGAGGGAAGAAAAAACTACGCAGAGCAACAACACTGCAGAGAAGAGGAAAACTTGACACAAACCCTATACCAACCTGTCTGGCTAGCGGGCTAGCGTGGTATAGTAGGCCAAAACCTCCTTTCTAAGGAGAGGCTTACGTCCAGCAGTGGACTATTATGTGGCTGTTAATGTGATACTATCAGTCAATCTAGCTTTTACAGTACAAGTTGTGCTTATTTTGAAGTTGTGTGTTAGATGTCCTAAAATATTATTATTATTAATTAGCTTAGGTTTCAGTACTTTCTTCAGTGTTATTGGTTGTTATTGAATGAACGACAGATGTGATAACTATTAGCTATGTCATAGATGAATACACAATTATTTATGTGCTTATACTCGTATTAAATTTGATATGTTTTGTTCCAGCCCGCCATGTACCGACGTTCGCTCCGTGCTGCGGACAGTGTTCCGAGAGTTGAACTACTTACCTCCACTAACTGTCCAAAGTTCACCACAAGGGAAGACGGAGCTTGGGGGTGAACATGGAGACCAATCGTTACCTTCTGTAGACCATTGGGTAAGTCTATGTTATTTTAACTCTGTAAAACAGTGCAATGAATACATTTTCGATATCTAAAGTATAATTAAGAAATATATTTTAAATCGAGGGAAATCCCACAGTAGAGTCAGACTTTAAAGGTATTAATAACAACTCAATGTTACTGTTGCAAAAAGTGCAATTTGCATATCCTCTGATTGAAATCGCAAGGAGCATCGTTGTGCGATAGGTATGTTTGATGTGTATGTATTTAAAGATATATAAAAGTATGTTTATCAGCAGTCTGGTCACCATAGCACAGGCTCACCCTAGTTTGGGATGAGAGGGCCATGTGTGAGATGTGTGTGGTATATTATTATTATCGTTCATTTCAGAATTTAGATTATATTATTATTTTCCAGGTAGATAAGTACAAATCGGAATGTAACAAAATCTCTAACCATGAGGATGAAATCAAGGATCACCGAGCGAAGCAGGTAGCTCGGAAACCCCTGCCTAATGTGTTCAAGTTACACGAGCGTGGTGTGCACAAACACCTACCTAAGTGTAGCCTGGACGGGGGCCTCGTCTGCAGAAAAGATCTCAAGCCCGAAGTGGAGCAGAATGCTGGACGTTAGTTAAATCTATTGTTTGAAGCCAGATTGGTGTTCCGTAATAAACCTTCATAGTTCACGATTAGCTGAAATTGGAGTTCATTAATAACTAATAGAATAGAATATTTAACTGTTTTGTATTTTCAATAATAAAAAATATATAAACGTTGCAATTTTGCAAATTTAATTAGAAAAATAGTTAAACTTTTTTTTACAAAATCAAAAGAAAAATGGCAATTTCTTATATTCATTTTAGATTTAGGGTCAGTCAAATTCAGTGCCTTTGTCCTACAGAACGCCATGGCTAGACAACACCAGCACTCTTTTACTCCTTGTGATGACAACAGAGTTTCATAGAATTAGATATAGGATTGGAATCTAACAATATGTCGGTGTCACTTGTTAATTGTTGCTATTGCACAAATAAATTAAGCCTCACAAAAAGATTGTATTTAAGAACGAACGAAAAGGTTTCAATCATTGATATGAGTGAGAAATCCATTCGTATCTTTCCTCTATCGGCCTTTCATATAAAATTGTGATAAAAACCTGTTGACTTCGCACAGACCTTGCCAGTTGTAGTCATTTCTTATATATACTGGACACGTTAACAACTAATTAATGATACTACATTACTTAGGTGATGGCAGTTTATGGGTGAAGAATATCTTGAATGTGAGTTCATGCGATGTCAGTACGGTAACAGTGAACACGAAGCGAAGAGCACCAGCGGAAATAAAATTATGCCCCGAAACAAGTGTCCTTAGTTTCAGGTGAGTTGCTGTAGAAATAGAATTGACGATAAATTGAAATTAAAAGATATTACAAGATGTGTACATGGATACTGATGCATACTCGCAATTTATATACACACATACCCAAACCAATGATGCAGCAACAGAGTCGCTTTATTTTAGTAAAGTTATCCAAATAACGCATTCCAGCTACAATCACCCTCAAAGAATAAAACTATGTGTGCATCCCTCGTGAGTAGTATAGTACGTATTTCCTCTTTGTTCGTGAGTGGAAAATACTCTTAACATTTATAACAACATGTAACTATAGTTAAAATAATAAGTGATTCCAAACTAAATGTTACTAAATATGGACAAAAATGAAAAAAAAAAAAACCTAATGGAAATTTCGGGGATATAAAATTACAATTCAGACAAGGATTTTTAGCCGACTGTTTAAGGACTGGGCATAATAATTTATGCGGATCGATCATCGTACTAGCGGTCTCACCCTGACTTCCTAGTCGTTAAAAGTTCCATTCGGAATAATTTCAAAGATAGAAAGCGAGTAGATATGCAAGTAAAACATGAATTAATCCAGTATTTGTTTACAGCGTTGGGCCACATGTAATGCATACCGCTGCGTCCGTAGTTCGCAGTACTCCGGAGACGGTCACGCACATTAATTACATATTATGTGTGCCGCCGAAACTTGATTTCATAAATTCTTTCGTTGGAAATTTATACGCGGTGGGTGTGATATAATTTACGTTTATTCTAATACTATTATTACAAATAGAAGAGTTTGTTTGAACGCTCAGGCGCGTCAACGCGAGTCAGGTTAAATAATATGTATTGTGTGAATGCAAAATTAGTGGCTAAGCATATAGTTCTCTTGAAATTCATAACTCATTTGCAAAACTCGATATCTTTTTGAAACGGACTGTTAAAACCATCATCTTATATGGCTGGGCCTTTATTCGATTGATGTCAGGAAACAATTGATTTTTTATGACGATTTCACCATGTTTGGAGCTCTTTTTGCTACCTACGTTTTGTTTCGAAGACGACATTTCTATGATATGAAACCAGTTTTAAGAGCACGATTTTCCAATTTGCTGAGTCATCCAAATGAAGAGTGTAAAGTTAAAAGTGTATAAAATAATCTCGAATTTTACTTAACCTTATACCTAATCTCTTTACATTGTATTTATTTTAACTTTCGTTACGACGCAAACGCAAACATAAATCGTTAATAATCTACAAATATCCGTTACGGAAACAGTTAAAATGGAATAATGTAATATTTGTTTCAGAAAAACATCCGACTTGTTAATATGACAAAATTTGAGTGCCGTCTCTCCATCATACCTCCAAAACACCGCGAATTCGATGTGGAGATACGGAGCCCTCGGGGCCTTACTATCACGTCCGGGGCGACCGTGGAGCTGATTGTTCGCTTCAAGCCGTCGGACGTGCGCGTGCTGAAGGACGAGCTCATAGTGAAGGTGTCTCGAGGGCAAACTTGTACCATCCCCATCGCGTGTTACATGCAACCACCTCTCTTGGACAGTGAGTCCACAGCGTAGTATATACGAGAAAGGTGATGACATTTGCACTAAAATGTCGCTTAATATATGTATTATGGACAGTTGTGGTTCCAACCGTCAACCGCGCTGTGGATCAAACACCCCTGGGCAGTTCATCAAAAGACGACGATTGCAAGCTGGACGTGGTGGAGCTGGGCGCGCGTTTGCTCGGCGATGTGCATTGCTCGCGCGTACTGCTTTACTGTAAGGCGAAGCACGCGGAGTTCTTCGTTCTTACTGAGGACGCTTGGGTGGATTGGGATCTTGATGTCAGTATAATTTATTCCGCCAGCCCCATTAAGTTAGATCAAATGTTCAGTGAAACCTGCAATATGCGTCCAATTAAACATTTTGTCCTCAGCCAAAAGTTAGATTTATTTTCTTTTCTGTTTCTAAATAAACTTTACAACACTTTCAAACTCTTAAATAATAAAATTAGTAGTATTAATGTCGTTATGTCAGAATAGATGTAGCGGTTTAGATTACTGAAGAATTCCTTGTTAATAAGGTATTTTTGTTGATTGAAGGTCCTCATTAAGTTATTCGTGCCTTGTAATCGGACCATCCGACATACTGCATACATTGTTTTCAATCAGATTCAGTCAACCTTATTTCTCCAGTGCCTGACTACTCGTTGTTCAGTGATAGCCGATTCCTTTGTGTTCTGGCCGGCGTGGTGGCGCGGCGGTGGTTTGGTGAAAGCGTGTGTGTGGTGCTGCGGAGACAGCGTGGGGGCCTTCGGAACTGAGCTACGAGTGCTCAGTTCCACTGCTATCAACAGGCAGCTGAGCCTACTAGCAGATGTGATGCTTTTTAACCCGCACCATCTTGTTATAGAGGTTAATAGTTACTACTATAGTCAAATAACTTTAGAAGTAGAGAGGACTAAAAGAATATATTGGCCACAGACGTAACGAATTCCGGCATCGAAGGTTTAAGAAAATAATATCATTATTATTTCACCAGTAATACGAAACAACAGTGAAGACTTTATGAAAACGTATATAAGACAGCTGTGTGTTAAATACTTTATACTTGCAACCTAAAAAAGAGGCGTTATAACAATTTGAATGTTACCAAAGAATTAGGATTCTAACGGCCCAAGAGAGAAACACAGATCAGTGTCTACAGATCCTTTAAAAGAAATAAATCTCACCGCTGTTACAATTAATCTTTATTTTTGTATCAGGCTCATGAGAAGGATTTTGATATATGCAGTGAATCAGATCCCGGATGCGAGTATTACGTAAATATGGGCACCGCCCTCCAGCATCGCTCTCTGTCAGCTACAGTGCGACTCGTCAACAATAGGTTGGTTTATTATTATTACATTAAGGAAAGTATATTTAAGAAAGGAACAGGGTTCGTGCTCTTTTAGAATGGCGTATTTCAGTTTTATAAACAATAAAAACTTAACTGCTTTATTTTTTCTTGCCAGTCCAATATTGTACAGTTACTACTGGGAGGTTCGACGTTGGGGAGTATGTTTTTGCTGGGAGGAGGAAAGAGAATCACAAGGACTAGACGAGGAAAGTGAATTCTTATGCACCGGAGCTAGAGAATCAAAACGAATGGCTGGCGAGGTAACGTACCTGTTATACACACTTTAGTGTTATTGTATACGCACAAGTTACTCAGTAGTCATTCAAGAATTACATCCTGATTTCGACTTGGGCTACTTAACTTTTATATTAGTTTGTATTAAGCGGCTACGGAATATTAAAATTGGGAAATAAATATTTATTTATCCGACACTCAATCCGATATATAGTGTTAGCATGTAATTAAAATATGATTTTGAATTTAAATTTCCCTGGTAGGAAAGAGCACTTTCTATAAAAGTGACATGAGCGATGAGTTCATGAGCGGCGATAGTCACTTTCCATCAGGTGACCGTCTGCTCGTCTGCCCCCTCTAACATAAAAAAAAAAATATGATAAAACACATTTATAGCAAATGAAGAAAGAAAGAAAGAAAGAAAGAAAATTTAAATGCACACACATTAAACACTTTACCGCGCCATATTTCCTAGGACCCTGAGGCATACGCCCAAAAGAATAAAGCCGAGCACATGGTCGTGGTGGGGCCCGGAGAGGACCAGATACTGCCCCGCACCAGCTGCACACTGAGAGTCAGTGTGCCTGATGTAGGGGAAGAGGTCGGCTTGCAACGCAGCGTACTTAGGCATGTACCATAAACAATATAAACATAGTAGTAACACTACGTGTAAATTAGCTTTTAAAATAATAAATCAATATTTTAATTCATTAATTTAAACAGGTTGATATTGAAAGACATTCCTAAAGAGAGTTTTCCTGCTAACTACAAGCCGATGATCCTACACACTAAGGAAGTCGCATCCGTTCCCATCCCAGGACTACAGGTTATAAAATCGAATTCATCTTTTGTACATAGAAGATATATTATGTATAACTGTATGTGAAAGATAACAACGCTAAAACTATGATGTTATGGTTACATTGTTAGAGTTCCAAGCGGGAGGTGTGCGACGTGGTGTGCGCAGAGATGGAGGTGTGGTGGAGGGTGGTGCCGCTGAGGTTCGTTCTAGACCCGCCCGTGGTGCCTCTGTACCATTCACGGAGGTAACTGGTATTAAACTAGCTATTTTATTTTACACTTTTGAATTATGTAAATCCGAACTATTTAAAATTATTCTAAAAGCATTATGCCATCCCACAACGAATTTTTATGCCTAATGATCTTTAAAAAACTTTCTTAGGGGTATTTTTTGTTGGTTACCAAAGTTTATCTCGTCCGTAGGCAAAATCTGGTTCTGCGTGTTAAATCTAGGTTGTTTATTGTTTTACAGACAGAAATCAGTAGAGGTAACTGTTACCGCGTGTAAGTTGTTCGGATGGGACAAGTCTCGCGTGATGTACGTGACACCGAAGCGCGTGTCGGCGCCGGAGCCGATGCTCCTCAGCACGGCGCGCTGTCTCACCAACTACTTCACAGTGCCACTACCATCTATGCAAAACCAATCTCCAGAGACTGATGTCCTAGCGTAAGTAAATTTCTTTGAAAAAGGTTGCACAAACTGGAAATTGACTAAGTATTTTTTGTTACATTAAAGATGTAAACACACACTCATGGACTTATTTCCCCGATGGACACATTTTACTAACTATAACTTTGGAACCATTGATGTGATATATGCAAGCCTGTTTTTTTCAACCGGACACTGTAGCAGGGTAGCCCTTATACCTATAACTCTAATTAGCTGTTGACGGAAAGTCAATTAAAAAAATGTAAGAACGCAAGAGATCCTGTTTTAGTGATAAAAGAACTAGACTTTTTGTTGTGTGTGTTGTACGTATCTTTCTTTCCTCTCAAGATTTCCGTAAAAAAACATTTGTTATTGGTTATTTTTCTGATGGTTACATTAAACAGTTTGGTGGCGGACAACGATGAATGGACAGCGGAATGTGTAATCACGCGTCGCTGTGAGACTCGTCACCCTGCCCTGCAGCCTGGCAATGTGTGGTTGGGAGTTGTGCCCCCAAAGACGAAGTTGCGAGCTGCCTTCTTAATCAAAAATGATACGTATCAACGTGTAAGTTTTGTACTTATACTTCTTATGATTCAAATCATGTTAAGTAAATTATTTTGAAAAAAAAGGTGCATAACCAAGAAGCGATCTATGGCAACACACAGTTTTATCTTTAGTTTGATCATTAGTGCCATGATCATGTCTAGTTTTCGACATGATCCTGATTATAAAATACTAGTGGCGGACGTTTACAACACAAACTTGACACAGTCTCATGTTTATTTACCTTTATTTATTTTTTTTGCCATATTCCTTTTTTTCGACGTAAGTTACAAGATCCTATGTTGCGTAATAACTTTTCAACAAACGAATGAGTTTGGGCTGTCGATAACTTCCAACACATCGTACAGGTGACGAGCTCCTAGTTTGTGGTGAGGTTGGGCACTCAAAGGGCGGCAACGCTCTTGTGTTTCTTGAGGCGCAGGTGCCCTTGGGAGACAGTAGCCACTTACTCTCAGGATATCCCTCTGCTCGTTTGCCACCTATTCCATAAAAAAAGTTTTTCATCCAGAATTGGTTTTGGTGTGAAGCTTTCCGCTGGATAGGCGAGAACAATCCCCGGCCGGCATGTGTAGGGCAGATCCCGTGCCGTGACTGCAAGGAAATCGCTTGTACGTGCGCTATCGTGCGACCCAGCCGCGGCGCACTGGACCACGGCGGCGCAGCAAATATATTTTACAATGTTAACGCCCCCGAGGTTTGTTACTGCTTACTGAATAATATATTCATAGGAATTTACTCTTCATACTAATTGACAAACTATCAGTATTAAGTGAGGCGAAAAGAAATTATATTATCAATAAGATATTCCCTCGAACCATGACTAACCAGAATGACTTTTATATTTCAAGAGAAAAATACAATAAATGCGTGTGCATTCAAGGTCCAAGAAAATATGATTTTCTATTTATTGTGTTGATCGATAAGTGGAAAAGTAATTCTGCAAAAGTTTGTGACTAAAATGTTTAATGAGATGTATGTCGGTAGCGAGACGGTTGTGTGGCCACTCTACTGAGGGCTCGCAGGTGTCAACCGGACCTGTCGATGGTGCACAGCGGGCCCGCCACAGAGGCCCGCGCCGCGCTGGTCGCGTACCGCGTGCTCGCGCCGCGCGTCACCATACGAGTACAGCCGTGCGGGGGGACGAGCGCTGAGTGCGGTAAGTGACGTCGTTTAATCATTCAAAGCAAAATTTATGAAAAGCGATGAGTCGATGAATATATTATAATCGGTTATTGAATTGTCCCAATTTAAGGAAGCTTCTAAATTATGCAAATACCTACGGGGACTGATAACCGCTTTGGATTTTTTATAGGACGCCATTGGAAATGTTCTCTTTGGATCTATTGGTATGAATTTACGAAAATATATTACGTACTAAGCAACGATGGCATAGAAATTATAAGCTATGAAATAAACAAATATTTAGAACCAATTGAACGGTTGTTTTAATTTACTACTCGTATGACATATTCTCAACATTAATAAAAAAATGTCTCATACTTTATTTATTTTTCAAGTGCCCATGATGGTTTTGAATTTGATTGTTCTTTGTGTGTGTGTGTTCAATAAATTTCAGTATATTAACGTTACTTTTTTTAACTTTTTAAATATACTTAAGAAAAGAAAATAATATAAGACGAATTACAATATACCTGCTTGCTATCCAGCAGTCTGTGTCCCAACAAATGTATGCGGCCCACGTGTAAGATACTTTGTAGGTAGATACAAGCCTTTGCTTACTTTGCTCACTATTTACAACACTGTACGCTATTTAATTTAGGTGAATGTGAGGTAGACGCAGGTGCACTAGCGAGTGAGCTGGGCTCGTCGACGCTAAGGCCGAGCAAGGCGCTGGTGGTGGGGCGGCGCACGTGCTACCGGCTGCGGGTTACTAACATTACTCCGCTGCCCACCAGTGTGCACTTCGATAAACTCATAGGTGTGTATACATATTAGTATATATATAATGGTAAGTAGTAAAATACTTCTATATACCAACTTAGAGGCGGGCCGTCGTGGTGTTGCCACTAAAAACCACCCGTTTTTAGTGGCAACACCACATCTTACTCCTGGCTCCTGTATTGTTGCGATGGCGTGCTCCAGTAGCCGTATATTCGAGGGTAATTTCCACTCCGGCACCAAAAGAAAATAAATATGTATATATTAATTCTTGCTTTTTTTCTTTGTTTTGTTTATATTATATACGAGCGTTGTAGTTCTTTATGATACATTCGTGTGTAGAGTATATCAAAGGTTTATATTCTCTGTAATTGGCTATACTCGCTGACTACATGAAACAATTGAAAATATTACTGAAATATCTATACTTAATCGGCAACCATGATAAGTTGACTTTTATTTTAATCATTTCTTTATGGTGTTCAATAAAACTGAAATTTAATTATAACAAGAGATGTATTAGAAAACTTTAAATTTGTTTAAGATATAGTAATGGATAACAAACTGCACAAAAATCATTTACTTGGTCTAGCAAATTTAAGAAACAAACAAAGTAATTTGTAAGCACAATGTGTTGTGTTCTCCGAGAGTGTTTGCTGAATTAGTAATATATCGGTATAATAACGTATGTATGTGAATGTTTGGAGCAGTCCCGAGCTCGTCCAACGTCGTGAAACAAAGCAGCGAGCCGCTAATGCAAATTGCTTTTATAGTGTTATTGCGTTAATAGATTTAGTGTTAACCGCTGATATTATGTAACCGTCATCCAATAAAGAGATTTAAAGAATGATTTTAGTAATATAGCTTTTACGAGCTTTAATATTAAAACTTAAAAGATAAGATAAACAATATAGTTATTAGTTGTCTGTTTTTTAGAGCGTAGTACATAATACTGTTCTAAGCCGAGATTTCTTTTCAAATTACCCTTAGAAGCGGAGCCATGAACCGCGGGGAAGGCTAATAAAACGTTTATGTTTAAAGTGATCGCGGTTTTACGTTTTATTTCTTATCACTGCGTATTATTATAATGAAGTAAGCAATGGGGTTTAGTGCCAGTATTTTAAAGAAGCGGAAAAGGAATAGATAGCATCGTGTTGTTATTTCAACTTACTACAAGAGAGACATTTAACATATGCAATTGCCAATTCGAGTTTGAATGTGGTCCTGTCCTGACTGAACTGTTACGTTCTCGCATACCAGGTTTCGGGCTTTTTTTTTTTTTTTTATGTGTGGAAATCCCCTCGGACCGTCACCCCGCCGGGGCTCTCGTTCGGCGGGGCGGTGTGTCGGACTCGAACCGACGGTGTGCCCTCTTTGCACTTCCAGTTTAGGAGGGGTCCAGGTAGCTATCTCCTTCTGGACTCCTCCCAGCGCCGGCCCGCTCCTGGTGCGGGCTCCGTCTCAAATTGACCTCTCTTTAGGCGGCGTCCGGCACACGCGGACGCCGCCCCCTCGCGGCTGGCCAACCTAATGCGGGTGGAGGGGAGAACCCATCCCGCCCACCCGCGGCCACACTCAGGGCGGCATGAGACGCAGGTGAGCGCGCCTCCGCTGCCCGGTTCGCCGGCGGCGGATCAGGTCCGAGTGGAGGTCGTCCTCCCGGGCCTCCTCAGCCGCCTCCTTTTGCGAGATTACCTCCTCGCAGAAGGTTGCAACCGCGGTAAAACAACTGTCGCTACCGGCCATGGAGCGAATTACGGCCGGTAGCGAGAGATCTGCTACGATGACTGCAGTGAGGGCCCGGCGCTGCGTCGCCCATGCGGGGCAAACCACCAGCGTGTGCTGGGCCGAATCCTCACTGCAGTCGCAGTGGTGGCAGGCGGGACTCGATTCCCTCCTAGCGACCGAGTACAGGTACTTGCCGAAGCAACCGTGCCCGGAAAGCACCTGCGTCAGCCGGAAGGAAAGGGTCCCGTGCTGCCGCCCTGCCCACTCCGCGATGACCGGCTGGAGAGCCTCCACGGCGGCGAAGCCAGCGCGTGGAGTCTCCAGCCGGAACGACCATCTGACCATGGTGGCTCGGCGAGCGGCTTCGCGCCACTCGCGCACGTCTTCGGGCGGAGGGCGAAATCCGCTCTCCGCCCGGAAGTCAGCCACTCGCCGATAAACTTCGGCGAGCACTTCCGCCTCCAAATCCCACCAAGGCGCAAGCCGCCTCGGTGGACACCGTGACCAGATTTCGGCCTCTGGTAACCACTTGGTGAAAAGTAGTGAAAGGGTTGCTCGGTTGCACTGGTCTTCTGTAAGACCGTGGTATCACTCCGGTCGAGTCCAAGTCCCTGACTCATACACGTGCGGAAGCTTCGCTCTCCTACGGTTAAAAACAGTGTCTACTTACACCGCTCTTTTGACTTTATTTTATAAGACAGAGTGTGTAATACCCGCTGTATCTCGCAGTACACATGAAACTGTTATCCAGCATAAACATCCTAATTGTGTTCACCTTGTGTGTGTGTGATAATACATATGCCAAATGTTCAGTGACATGAATTACTTTTGTTTACTGACTTCTAAAGGAGTAAACGTAACATTGTGTTGTACTTTGTTGCAGATGGCACTGACTTTCTAAAAGTGACATTCACACCTAACGACTTTAGCTTGTCGGGGTACGCTAAGGTTAACGTGACGGTGAGTTCAACGTCAACACTAATCTTATCTCTTTATGTTCCGCTATATTTATTTGTCGTATAGTCATCGCTATTTTTTTCAAGTACAGAGTACAGTTTTAGAGTAATTCAACACGAGGTTGAGAGATACTACATATACTTATTGTGCGCATACCGCAGTATGAGTAGAATATTCAAAAGGTTTCGACGCTGTTTCGCAGTAAATACTCTAACATAAATATTTTAGTAACACTTTGGACCGCAAAAAACATATCCAGTGAGGGAATTTAAAAGTAAAGCAGCAATGCTACAGCAGCAAAAAAGTATTCTCTGCTAGCTTTTAATAACTTACAGTTTCTACGAAACGAGTATTTTTTATTTGTTTGTTTTAATATTTTTTATAGCAGTTATCTTTAAAAAACTATCATAATTTGATTTTTTTTTTTAATTAGCATAAAGGCCGTAAAGGAATTGTGACAACAATTCTTTATGGCCTTCACCCATAGCTAGGGAATATTTTCTTTGAAAACTTTGACTGTCACCAAGTCAATCCAAAAAATAATTATCACAAGTGGTTCACAAATGTCAAAGTTCGCCACGTATCGTACACACAAAATATCACCTTCTTTGACAATCTTCTTCTTTTCGAAATCCGTTAAGAGATGTCTTCGGCAGATGCTCAATGAGTATACCAATACACTTACACCCATGTCATGCCTTTATTAGCTTTTCCCCATGTTATACTATAGTAGAAAAATACATTCAGTTGAATTATGGCTGATTCAAAATAAGTTTGAGTTACGATACATTATCGTACATGACACATGTATCTATAACATTTTATTCATAATTTTATTCTATTGCCACTATAATGCTTGTTGGTATTCGGCTATAAATGTTATACTTTTGTCGCAGGTGGTTCTAGCCGCTCGACGAGTGTGCGAGCGGCGCATGTTCGTGTGCCGCGCAATTGTGCTGCGCGCCTACCAGCCGCTCTACCTTATCATAGATGCTGCTATCTCAGTTAGTGGTACATACCTCATCATCACCGTATTGCCTGTGTCCTAATTATGTTTAGAACCAGTGCAAGATTGCAAAGGTTTTGGACTGAGTCTTTTATGGTTACCTATATGACTGACCCCAACCAAATGGAGTTAGAGAGTTAGGGAACGGAACTGAGGCCGCAATTTCTGTTTTTTGTACATTGTAAGATTGTGCAATTAGCATTTTAAAGATGCACTAATGTGAGGAATATGGTACTTGACGGTCTAGTCAAATTAGTTCCTTTTTATTGAAAGTTAAAGTGGTTCGTTTGGTGGGTTCTTATTTACAATTATAAGTAATGACGTTATGCCTGTCAATTGCCAAATTTTGTTTAACAATTGAAATATATTTATAGTTATATAGTTTTATGACATACTTCGTGTGTATCCGGGTGGTTACGGATTTAGAAAACGGAGTGTTCCCCCCTATACCCTTATTCAACGCGTGGGTGACGTAAGAGCCGACTAAGGAGGAACCGAACTTCTAAGGAGAGGCCTATGTCCAGCAGTGCTCTACTAAAGGCTGTTGATGTGAAGTGACATAACTATGCTAAGCAAACTTTTAGTGTAAACATTCTTACTAAAACAGAAATAAAAAAAAGGTTGCAAAATAATAAAAATTATGTTGTAAATGCACACACTCACGACTTTAGGCAGAAGCGTATTATACACATACATACACATTCTACTCTGTACTCATTTAATTTGGTCCAACTCACGTAATACGGATGAAGCCTAATGCCGCCCGCCGGGAATCTTAACAATTAAATATAGGAAAATTGGGAGTTTTCTTTTACTTAAGTTTGTGCTTTCTTTCTACTTAACACAATATTACGTTGGCCCAAAAATATAACGTCAATACAAGTCTGCTAAATCGAAAATTACACCACAACGTTGTATTACATTATTCCAAAATGTATCTTCTGAACGCTTATGTCTAAGCATATTGAGAGGTAACCTTAGGAATACACTGCTTTAGTAACAAGCTCCGAGATTAGATCACAATGTTGGCGTAAGTGGCACAATGTCGGTTTATCGGATTCTCATATGTGTAGTTTGTATGTTAAGTGTACCGCAAGGCTCGATCTCGCATATTCGGCCCCGACGTAGATAAAGGAACTTGTCGTTCTCGAATATCCAACTAAATATATGTACGTTAATTCTCAATAATTACCACTACTCGAACCCGAGCAATTAATAGTAGGGGGACCCAAGATTAGAATTCTTGCTAACTCATTCAAATGAGCTACTATTCGTATTTAGCCTAAACGATCGATCCTGTAACTTCTTGAGCGCAAATCCAATGCCTTTGCCTTGTACGGCCGGCGAGTTAGAAGTTACAGTCTATTAAAGACAATTGCCGCACATAGAACTAGTCCCGTGTGAGGTGGATTTTATTATTAACATTCCAACATTGGGTTCAAAGAACAGTCAGGATATCGTGCCAAACATAACCCATTAGTCAGTAGTTTTACTGTTTCCGATAGCAACACCTGTTATATTTTGGTTTTAATCATTGTTTCAGGGCGTACAGGTATCACTTCAAGTACCTGTAGGCGAGGGTGCCGTGACGGATGATTTTGTTATAATGCGGAGGACACAGGTTTGAACTGGGATTTTATACATAACCCTCTCTGTTGTTTGCTGCATCGAAGTACGAAGTGAAGTTGAAGTCGGCTTCCCACCTAGCTTTTTTACTTACGTAAGTAATGTTAAAGTAAATTATTGACTTGGTCTCTCAGTATAAAAAAAATGCCCTCTTGTACAAAGGTTCAAAGAACTATACGTAAGCTTCGTATTGTTCTTTGAACCTTTACAAATTGTAATCTAAAACGTCTCATTTTTCAAAACCGAGGTAAAAATAACGAGTTACTATCGCTAGAATCATACTGCAGGCAAAATGTCTACCATGTTTTTATAGCTTAAGGATAAAACCTTCTTTTGTCGGCACAAGAGGGCAGTTTTTTTCATACTGAGAGACCAAGTCAATAATTTACTTTAACATTACTTACCTAAGTAAAAAAGCTAGGTGGGAAGCCGACTTCAACTTCTCTTCGTACTTCGATGCAGCAAACAACAGAGAGGGTTATGTCTGTGTTACATTTGCTATAGTATTAGGGATAAATACTGTATAGTGAAGAGATTAAATACTGTTTACTACCCTGCACTAGAACGCGACATGAATACAGATCATCATATTTCGGCCCGGAGTGAATGGAAATTTATCCAGCCCACAAATTCCAGTGCAATATTTACACGAACTATTTCGATCAATTCTCAGACCCCTCTATCTTATCCCGTCATTAAGGTATTGTTTTTTTTTGTATACGCTATAAGGGCCTTCTCACTACACCATGTCCCAAAAAGACTGTAATAAACCAAATTCGGTACAGGGCCAAGATTTGTGTCAATGTTCTTGTGGGTCAATCCTCTAAGCGTAAAGACTTACAAAATTAATAAACGTAATGAATGATAATGTAATTTATCACGGTTGTTATCAATATAGCTGTGAGCAGCTCAGCTGTGAGCATGTCTCGCGTTCGCCGTATTGTGTTTCTTATAATTGCAATGTGTATTTGCACATAGTTCTAATGACATCCGTATGTCATGAACATATTAATTAATGTTTATTGAGCATGTGCAATGAGCATTGTTTAAACCCAAAACTATGAATAAGTTTGTAATAAAATATAATCTTAAATCCAATCTCTTTTAAAATTTTAATAATTTTTCGTAAAGTGTAACGAACGCCTTCAAAAGACTTATCGCGATTGATTGAAAAAACAACCTTCCTCAATGTGCATAAAGCTTTTATCTGAAGACGGTATCACTCATTGTATTTTTGTCACTAAAAGATAATCTAGTTGGTTTTCGTGCAGGCAAACCTACTAAAACCTATCACGAATAAATGAACTTCTATACCGTTGGAGCGATCAATAGAAATCTGTCAGTTATACTCGTATGTGTGTGTTTTTATTGAAAGTTTTTTATTTAAGATAGAAAGACAGAGGCCTTTGCACACCAAAAAAGGTATAGATAATAGATAGTATAATCTAGAAATATGTAAAAAAAAACAGAATAATGGTCAGTGTTATCGCAGTCTTTTACAGGCCACTAGGGTGGACTATACTGGATAGTAGTAGTTAGATCCCTAATGGTGAAAGTGTAATTGTGGTTACAATTTCAAACTACTTCAGGTTAGATAAGGTTTAGAGACTGCGAGTGACTTAGTGCTATCATTTTCGGGATTCAGGATTTGATAAAGCAAAGATTGTAGCTATTGTGTGTTGATCTATGACTTTAGAATCTATATATATTTTCAATAATTACATTATAACTACTCGTAATTAACATAATTGTAAAAGTCTTGGCTACTCGGATCACTGCCTAATCTGGGGTACGCTCACGTGCTTGCCACGGCTACGAGATGCAGGCTGCCGCCGTGTATGGTACTATAGGTCAGTGGACTGGGATGGAATGCGTTCCTTTTTTGCGGCCTACCTATGGAGGCAGGTTTGTTTCTTGCCGGACGATCCCACCGGCGTTACGGATTCTGTCACTGATGTAGTACTTTAGGGTATGGAACTATTTGTTCCTTCTACAATAATGTCCATAGCTGGCAGATGTAAACAAGGGCATGGAAGATCCCGCAAAACACCGACGGCAGGCGATATAAATACCAGCAGGCGAAAAAAACAACTTCTGGAACTTGTGCATTCTGGTCTCTTGCCAAGGCTGTCCAGAGGAATTTCTGTACCATTGGGTACACAAATTCCCCTTCCATCCCTGCAGATGGGAGGCCATTATGTCAAGGAGAAAGTCGATCTCCTAGGCGAACTTTGCATGCTATTCGAGTTTGAATGACGGGGAAAACGTACCTCCGACTATATCGCGGTGCCAGAGCTGTATGCCGGTAATCTGGCGCCGTGTGTAGTGAGTGCGTAAAGCGCTCTTTTCCCTTAACATGCATAAGTCAAGTGGGCCCAATGGAATGTCTCCTATCGTGTTGAAGACGTGTGCTCCAGGATCGGCACTGGTTGTAAAGAGCCTTTGTCGACTCTCCTACTCCCAAGGCGTCGTCTAGTACTTCAGGAAGGTAGCGTTTGTGCACCAGATCCCTAAAAAAGGTGACCACTTTGACCCGTCCAACTACAGGCCTATAGCCATAAACCCCTTGTTCTCTAAAATTATAGAATCCATAATTAAGTTCCAGCTCCTAAGGTACTGAGATAATCACCAGCTACTCAATGACCGACAATATGGTTTTCGTCGGGGTCATTCAGCTGGTGATCTTCTCGTCTTTCTAACACACCAGTGTGTGAGCACAGGCGATCGAGACCAAGGGAGAGGCTTGTGCGGTTAGTTTGGACATATCTGTTATGTCTACGCACTTCTTTACCGGATTAAAGGGTCCGATATTATACTACACGACTTTGCTGTACAACGTATATTGGCCGAATGGATTGCTACATTGCTACCCACTAGTTACAATATATTACAATATCGAAGGCTTTAGATCGGGTCTGCCATTCTCTGGAACCTTCTTTCCTATGGGCTTCCCGAGAAATTATTTAAATCTTATAACATCTATAAGGTGCAAGTCCGGGCGCATATGGACTACTGCTCTCATCGCTTTGTACCTCAGTACCAGCTTCTCCCTCAGGACCGCATCAAACGAAGAGCGACTCGAATCGTCGATAGCCCATAGATCTCCGATCAGCTCTATCGTCCCGATCCCTTGGGGTTACGTAGAGATGTAGCTTCACTTTGCTTCTCGATCATATATATCATGGAGAGTGCTCCAAGGAATGGTTCGGACTAGTGCCGGCCGCAACTTTCCGCCACCGATCCACACGGCAGTATTTTCATCCCCATCACCTGGATAATTGGTGCTCTACTACTGTGCGCTTTTCAATCTGTGGAAGAAGTTGTCGTCTGTAGTATTTCCGGACCGATACGACCTTCAAACCTTCAAGAAAAGAGCTTGCTCCTTCTTCCGTGTTTGTGACTCTGATAACGTATAGTCACTTTCCATCAGGTGACCCGACTGATCGTCTGAACCCTCTTACATAAAAAAAGACAATAAAAAAAAATGAAATAAAGGTGGTCTGAGTTTAAGGAAAATTTGTGATTAATACTGTAATCGTAATTTGAAAGTGACAAATTAAACATTTGATGTGACAGATAACGCCAATATTTTGTAACCGAGGTAATAAATTAATGTAACTGGGTATTTATTATAAAGGACGTTGATGGAACATTGGGATTTTCCGATAACAGCCTGATTCTAATAGCCATCAAAATGTACAATTGAAACAATGACAAATATAATATATCTGTTTTTTGACTACTTGTAACGCACCTGACATATACCCACACATCTCTATATTATATATACATATAAACTGACTTATAAGCCAATAAAAATATTTTACGAGTCCATTTAACTAAAACATCGTTTTCATTTCAAAAAAAGCCAAACAAACACCCTTCTCCTTACACCCCGCAATAAAACGGGCGGTTTATGAGCAGTTCCCACAATATACCCCGGGTACTCATAGTTTTTGTATGCGGAGATTTTAAGACGTATTGTGGAATATTATTATTTGTGAGCAGACGTTCTGTGGTCGGAGCTTACTTTGTGAGTAGTTGGTTAAGTAATAACTCGCCTCATGTGTAAAGTTGTACGTTGGTAGTAAACGTACTCTCACTTTGCGTTAATGCTACTTTATTGCTTGGGTCGCATTATATTTAGCTAATAAACCAACTCTATAAGCTAAGTTTTCTATTTTGAATACTTTTTAAATATGCGTATTACAGGAAGTAAGTGTAGAGTCCTTCTAGACCTATTACACATTAAATTTTGCAGGTTACAAGTATAAGGTACTTGTCCTCATAGAAGAAGATTGTACGATGGATATAGAAATATCTTTCACTCGAGGGAAACTGCGGGCAAAAGTCAGTATGCTACATTAACGGCTACAATTTGTTTCCTTTTTCTACCATTTTTCTAATGGATTTCAAATGAATAGTTAGGTAAAGGCTGGAACATAATGATATTAGTCTCAAGTTCATAATCACAGTCTATGCACTTTTTAATTTTTAAGTAGTCGCTTGAAAATGTTACTAAATTGATTCTACATCGTTCAAGTTATTATTATAGTATAGTTTTAAAAGATTGTAACAATTTAAAACATCTTACAAACAAATTGGTTGTTTACAGTCTTATCGAGATTGACATCGGGAATTACTGTTTCAAATTACACAAAATTTAAGCATATACCTGCACACAATATGTTTTACAATTTGTAAGGCAGCTGCGGGGGACCATCAGCAACACGTTTGCGCGGTATCAAAGCGTGATTACAATTTATGGTTAACCCTTTTGAGGGGCTTCGCGCAATATTATTAACATTAAAATATTCGAGAGCTTCGGAGAGCGGTAATGTGACTATGTCTTTTCGACGAATAAACACAAAATGTATCGAATCAGTGTCGATGACAGCTTTAGCAACGATATTGAAATAGAATGGAATAATTTTGTATTATCAATATTAACTCTTTAAACAACATAATTATATATTTTGAAAAGGATCGTTCAAAGTCCATCGTCATTCTATAATGGAATTTAATTTCTTCTCGTATTATTTCTCAGATTCTGTTTGAAATGTAAGATATTAGCTGCACTTGTGGCTTATTTTTTACTGTATAGGGGCAAACAAGCAGATGGTTGATCTAATGGTAAGTGACTACCGCCGCCCATGACCACCTGCAACCCAAGAGTTACGTCAGAGTCAGAGTTTATCTATGAGGCGGTGGTATTACTCCGGCCAAGGCAGCCCATTACGTGCTGAAGCATGGCTCGCCTACTATAAAAATCCATTCTTATTGTATTTGTGAAATTTTAAAAATCAATCTAGTTTATTGGAAAGCCTTAAATATTACTCTAATAATTCAATCAAAGATCATCGGGATTTATGAGAGAATATAAACATGTATCGTTGTATGGCTGGACCATAGTTTCACCTAGCTGACGTAATCCGTTTATTGGATCCGGACCCTTTTGAAAATGGCCTCTACACAAGACAAACAAACACCTATCTGTTATTGTAGACATAATCTTGTCTGCACAATTGCCTTGGCGATGTATTGACATTATTATAATAAATTTCCCTTCTGGAGAAACGCTCCTCGCTCGTTTAATCAAATCCGACTCGAGGCGGATTTTAATAAAATGCTAATATCATGCTGGGAGCTTAGTTGTGTATGTATTTAATGTTAAGCCTATATATTTTTTTAAGTCAATATGTTAAACGTATTATTAGGTAATTTTCTCTACATTTAAATATATAAAATAATACTTTTTAAAGAGGCAAATCTGAGGATATTCCTGTTTTGTTTCATTTACAAATAAATTATACCCAGAATCGGCACAAGTCACAAATCATTGTTTTGATGTTAGGCGTTTGCCGAAGTAACAACTCAAACCATTTCGCTGTCCGTATCGCAATTTAGTAAAACATATGTGTATGGCTCTGCAGATTGGAAAGCTAACGAGTTTGATATTTTAATTACATCGAATAAAATTATTTGTAATATTTTGCCACAAACAGCATGTTATTGTTTACCAGGCTTACACCTTTTTTTTCTCTCCTGAAATCCCCTTGGATACCATCCACAAGTCGAATGGTTATGTCAAGCTTGAACCGACCAAAAACCGTACGCCGTCTCGGGTACCAGTTACCGGAGAACCAGTAAAATATCTCTGGTACCCCGACGTACCTCGGGCCATCTACGGCGAGTAGGTGACCCCTCCTGTGTGAGAACTCCTATGTCCCCTTTGTGGTCCGGAAAAGGCGCGCGTGCTCTCAGCGCGTCTCGTTACCTCCCCGGCCTGCTTCTGCTAGGGTGACAGATGGCCTAACCTACCACCCCCAGGCCTGCGCTTATGGAGGAAGGAGATCGTTCTGCGACCTCTAGCGCCTGAGTCGTCTACCGTACCTGGCCGGTTCCCGGGCTTGGCGGGCCGGAAGAATTCTAAACCTCTCGCGGTCCCGTTCAACCATCTTCTTCGCAAGCATAACTTGCTCGCAGAAGAAGACGGCGGAGTTCCACTCACTCTCGGTCCGTACCATGCTGAAATCATACGGAGCGAGAGAATTCCCACTCCGACTACGTCTACGTCTAATGAATAAAAACTATTATCGAGTAGCCATGCATGCAACTTAACTTTAAAAAGCCTTAAATGTAATAATACTAATGTAATAACTTATTATAACCGCGACGCACATAGCTGAACAGTTTTTGTTGTATTTTGTTGATCGCGGAATGTCATATAATACTAATTTATGTGGGTCTCTTCTATTGCATGGACTTTGTCATTTGTTGTGGTAAATAAATCTAGATTTTTTTCTATTGAACATGCAGGTTTCGTAAATAAACCAGCCTATCAATTATTATTTTTATAAATCTCAGTGGCAAATAAGCGTACGATACACTTGGTGGTGACCAGTTACCGTAGTCTATGGACGACAACAGCTTTAAGTTGCACTTTTTGGTTGAGCTGTCTCCTGTACAGTTTTATAAAACGTACATAAAACAGTATTTCACACATTTCACTTATCTCTTCATAAATCGTTGACAACATTCAATTTATACAAGTACCTTATACAAGTACCTTGTTAAATAATAAGATTATCAAGGAACATATTTCACATTGCGATCTCAGCTCAAACCAAGCAGAGCTAGTACTATGTTTACCGGAATACGTTAAGCTACAAACATATTATATTTTTACAAATACGTACAAGTTATAAATAGAAGCATTCAGGCCTATTCATAAACTACGTCGTGGATTTCCCTACATAAAATATTTGTATCTCTGCCTATTCAAAGTTATTATTAGAAATGTATCTAGCCCGCTGTGGGTCTATTGATGCTCTCGGTGGTAAATTTTAAATAGCCGATCACTGCTAGAATCTAATAATATATTCAATTCCTATTCTAGTAAACTTAAGATACGACATTATGATATGAAAATATTCAGCTAGCACAGCATCCATATACTAATTAGTGAGGTGAAAGTTTAGTATGCACTGTTTTGGCGCACATGTAGAGTCAGGAAACTGTAAGTTTAAAAATTATGTGAAAATGACTAGAATAGATAATAATAAATAAATATTTGTTTAATTATTTTTTTAAGATAATACAAAAAAATGCCCCGACCGTTCTCTTGTAAAATGGATGCGACTACCGTGCTGAATTAGGTTTGATTAAACACTAAATGGCAGCATTCCAAAGTTGTGGTAATGTGTAAGTATATCCGCCTGACCACGGAGACCAGCGTCAGACTTAATCACAAGTCAATGTGAGCGTGTATTAGAATAGAAGGTAATTGGAACAGCACGATAACACATTATGTTGAGACACCATGTTTTAGTTTGTAATGGATGTGTATTTTGTATTCTTTGATATATTTATCAATAAACACAAAATTTACATTACATACAGTTTATTTATTTAAATTTACCGAATACGATGTCGATATGAAAAATATGCACATATTTATTTATATATAGATTTTTGGTATCGATATTCTAACTTCAAAAAACTCTACTAAAGAGTGTTCACAAAATGAAACACAACAACCATGTATGTTTACTTTAAAATAAAATCTTTAATGTATTCGAGTTAGTATGAGTATAGGTAAGTTCATTCTGAGTTTCCGGATTCCCTGATAAGGTTCAGTAAATTAACTTAACGAACTAAGTATCGATTCGGTGTATTTGAACCACATTTGATTTATAAGTTCATTGATAGAATAAAGTAAAAGGAACAGTATGTTGAACACCCTAATTTTATAGGCTAAAAGTAGGGTTTATTTCAGGTGTTTTAATTTTACATTCTACAGTAAAACTGAGAACAGTATGGTGCAGTATGGATCTTTATTTAAAAAGATTAATTATAACTATAAAATTCTTCTACAGAGGAACGGGTCCGAGGAAAAGAAGGGTCATGTTTCTACACCGAGTGGTATTTTCGCTGAAGAAGATCGCAAGCGAGCCGTCATTAAAGGTAAGCACCACTTATTGATGGTATCTATATTGAGTTAAAAACTGAAACAGTGAATACTATCGCTCCAACCACGTTCTCGCAAAGTACACTAAAAGTACGTCGAGTATTAAGACAGTCGTTACTGTTTATTTTAAATGTTTGGTTTGCTACATACCAACTTCATAAAAAAATATCTCTTGCACATGATACTATCTTTTGTCTTCAAAGATTCGCTACCGGTGTTTATTGGACTTGAGAGACTTGTATTTTAAATATATTTTTGAAATGAATACTTTAAAAACTCTTTGAAATTCTTTTAAAATCGTCTTACAAAGATTTAATATAGTTTTAATAATTAACTGACAATACTAACTGAAATTTCAATGTTAAACCATTATTTTGAGACTTAAAATGATTTTTATTATTGATGAATGAGTATTGGTGTGCAGGTGTACATATCAACTTTTCGGACAACTTTACTAGAGGAGGTTAAAAATAGATACATGTCAAATTTTCTTTTGGTATTTATTTGGTACAAAAATTCCAGGGGTAATACTGCGTGGAACTCTGCCGTCTCCTTCTGCGAGCAAGTTATGCTCGCGAAGGAGACGGCGGAGCGGGACCGGGAGAGGTTTAGGACTCTCCCGGCCCGCCAGGCCCGGGAACGGGCCAGGTACCGCAGGCGACTCAGGCGCCGGAGGTCGCAGAACGACCTCCGTCCTCCATAAGCGCAGGCCTGGGGGTGACAGGTGAGGCCATCTGTCACCCTAGCAGAAGCAGGCCGGGGTGGCGGCGAGCGCGTTGCGAAGCGCGCTCGCCTCTAGGGAGCACAGGGAACATGGGGTTCCCACACAGGGGGGGCGGGTCGTCTACTCGTCTGTAGATGACCCGAGGTATGTCGGGGCACCAGGGACTTCCTTTCTAGGGTATACCTGGTTCCCCGGCTATTAGTACCCGAGACAGCGTGCGGTTTTAGTCGGTTCGAGTCCGACATGCCACCGACAGGTGGTATCCGAGGGGATTTACGCACGGAAAAAAAAAAAAAAAAAAAGGGGTAATACTGCGTGTTTGCTTGGCGGACGTTTTTAAATAAAACATACTGAGCGTTAAGCCCTTCACGCTCCAAATCGTTACAATTTCCTGTTCACTCTCATCAAATTGTTGTTAACTAGCCGGATATTTAACCATTTAGATAATGCCTGCGGGGAAACTGGCTCACATTAAAGTGGGTAGTATCATCGGATGTGTATCCTATTTACTACCACAGACAAGAGCCATGTATTATATGGAATTGACCTTTCCTTCACTAGATACCATTCAAACATGCTACTATATGCTTACGTTTCTGTTGTGGGCCGGATCGTCTCAAGAAAACCCTTGTATATTACACGCTCCTCTTGTAAACCATCTATTTACAAGAGAAGTGTGTACATGCATAGGTTAATAAATCTTGGAACACAGTTTTAAACTACTTCTAATTATCGTTTCGAAATAAAACAGTGAACGTATATTTAAGTGATGTGGACATTATGTTTTATATTCGGGATCTTGGAGCTTAAATGTTGCAAATGTGTTCCCTAATACAATCACTTAATTGCCATCATATAAAAGCAGCCAACGTGATCAAAATGCACTATAAGTCAAGTTTACAAAAAGAGGCGGATCGGTCGAGCGACCAATCCGAGTATCGTGTTGCTAATCACTATCACTTGCACAAATACTAGCATCGGCGGACATAAAGGCCTAAGGCATTCGCTGCCAGTTGACCGATCGGGCGAAAGAATGACGTAGGTGCATTTATGGGAGGGTAATGATAGAGATTTTATTAAATACCAAATATTTTAGAATTTGGTGTATACATGTGCATACCCACACATATACACGCATTCATATATATACTTAGATACACATCCACACATATATAGTCTCTCGTTGAATCTGCCATTTCACTCAGCAAAAGCTCTTTCACTTTAGTCTTAAAAGAGTATCGATTTGTGGCCGTCCTGACTTTGAGAGGAAGCGCATTTCACAAGAGGACAGCCTGGACGAAGAACGAAGAGCCGACAAACCCAGTGGTGTGAGAAAGACAAAATAGAAGGAGATTGTTGGCCGAACGAAGGTTTCTGTTGTGATTATTGCATAACGTGGAGAAAGGTGAATTGAGGATAGTGTACATAATTGTGAATGCGCGCATTTTCCTGCGTTGACGAATAGGTAACCATCTTAGCTGGGAACGAATTCTGGAGATATCGTCATACTTACGAAGAATAAAGATAAATCGAATGCAGTTACTGATGAGACGATCTAGCTTGTTGAGAAGATCTGCTTTTAGGTCATAATAGCACACTCACCGCAGTCGATTAAAGGGAAGATAAGAGATTGCACGAGCGCTGTCTTGGTTTTCACGGGAAGATAGTTTTTCAGACGATATAATATTCTGAGAATCCCGGTAACCCTCTGGCATACGTATGTGACTTGATCGCGCCAGTTCAGAGTGCAGTCGAATTGTAAGCCTAGGTCTTTCACCGTTCGATAAACAGGTATAGTGTTACCATTGAAAATAATTTTAGGGAGCGTCAAACTGACTCTGTCATCGAACGCTGACTGCCGATTATTATGGCCTGACACTTTCCCTGATCTAATATAATAAATATAATAATATGGATTGTGAGCTTTATTTTAATATACTTTAGAATTGAAATAGCGTCCAATCAAATATAATACAATACTTACGAGTATTACACATTATATTAAAATAACTACGTCTGAAGTACGACCACATTGTTTTTATTTATTTATTAAAGGTTTCCTAAAGATCCGAGTTTAAGGGCTAAATCGAAGATCTTTTATGAAAACTTATACCTTACCTGGATACTTACAAGAAATAGTGTCATTTGCTCAGATTATTTCAAGACCTCTGAAAGTTGTTTTAATTGTTACGTGTGAGCTCCGTAGTGACAGCTGTTTTTGTATGGGAGTCCGAGAATGTGGGCGTGTTAAAATTCCCCCCACCCCCGCAATAACGATAGACTATTTTTTATAAGACGCTATGGCTATTCCCCTCCGGTCGCCGCTTGCTTGTGTTGCTATATGATTACAAAAAATAGCCTATCAAGTATTCTTTTATATCAGTGATATCTTAATCTCGCCCCAGTCCCCAGTTATATGTTCATAAATATAATAAAATTATGCTATGATAAAATTGCTCTCTGTTCCCATGTCTAAGTTTTCGTCGAGTGGCAGCCATTGTCATAACTATTTATTGCTTTGTGTCCGGGTCAACGACATAGACTTCATTTATTTCATTTTCCTGTTCTAGTTCACCAATCGGCTCGTTTAGTTCCTCTTAGTTTTCAAACTCACGTTTCAGTGGCCTCTCAAATATTTTGACGGTGAATCTATTGGAATAAACTTAGTTACGTTACAAATGACATTATTATAAAATAATTGAATTAGACTTCGGTGACAAGAACAACAATGAATTACAATTAAATATCGTACATCAGTTTTAGTGTTAAAATCAATAATAATTTTATTGTGTAGGTAAAATTATGTTTGTTATTAGTAGGTATAGTTTGTTTGTTATTAGTCAAAAATAAAAAAAATTGATTGTTTTGCGACAAGGTTTCTGAGTTTAATTCGAATTATTGGAATTCACGGTCATCTCAGAATATAAATTAGCCAGATCAGAGATTTAATTTGCTCACATACCCATGACATGGCTAAAGTAAGAATATGATTACATTAACAAGAGACATGCTGTCGGTTATTCTACCATTGTTGTAATTACTCGTTTAATATATTAAGTTGTCAAAATAATTGAGAGATATGAAAAGTACCTTTGTGTAATCCTAAACTTTTACGTACTTAAAACCAAAGATCCAGGGAAATGTGGATCTGTCCCAACAATCGGTTTAATTATGAGGTACTAATGAAGTATTACCAAGCAACCAAAAATGGGCCACAACCAAACAAATTTAGAAGACTACTTTGACCATACAGTAATCATTGTAGTATACTTGATTAGTTCAGCAAAGTCCGAAGATATCTGAAATATTTGAAAGTTGAATATAAATTCCCTCAAACAATTTCCATTTGCTTCGTAATACCATTTAGTTTGTAAATGTTAGCACTGTTGTCGAGCACTGGCTACTGAAACTTTAGTGAATAACTCTTTACTGCTTAGGCGTGATTTACAGTTTAATAAATGTTATATTATTCAGTGGTAATACCACCAGAATTTCTTCTATTTAAACTGTGTGCCATTTTTTTCACTATATTAGAGAGCTGGTGATGCAGAATGGGGCATTTGAACATTTGAAAATAGTGAAATTGAATTCATGTTTACTCAGCACGCTTTTATTTGAACCAGTTGATAGAAACTAATTAGCATATATAATAATAATAATAAATTTATTTCAAGAAGCCCAATACAAACATAATGCAAAGGTATTAACAATTTTTATGACATACTGAAGGCTAAGAATTTTGCACAAAGTCTTATATCCTTGACACCAGGGACATGTCCTGTATCTTAAGCGTCATATACACCTCTGCAACGATTAATTATTGTGATTTCCTAATAATCAACTTAGCTACTATTTGATATATATATATATATATAGAATATATGCTCATTGAAGCTCTAGGGACAATTGCCTAGTTGTTTATTTATACGTTAAGTTCAAGGTAAGAGCATTACCTACAATAACTATTTTGTGCTGTATATTCACAGTTCGTTTATTACATTAATCATAGTAAAAAAAATTACTCGTACAATGTAGAGATTACATGTCACTGAAAACTCTCGTTGTCACACGAAGGTTGTTTTTGTTACAACAAGCCTTTCTGTTTTCAAAACACTTGGATTGAGCAAACCTCGTTAAACAATTATTCCTCTAGGGGAGAATTTTGTGTTCAAGTTGGACAAAAACATCTGCTACCATTTTGTAATTATGTATCTCTCAAGGAGGCTTTGTTCATTATAAGTTTCTTAAAACGTCAACTTCATAAGCCGTAGAAATTTTAATGATCAAATATTCGGGGTTCTTATTAATTTATCTTGGAGATAAGATCCCGATAACAAACCCTCTCTAAAATAAGAAGCTTGGATAAGAAAAAAAAAAATATATCTGTGAAATTTGAAGTATTTAAAAACAATGCTCATTTACGAAAAGTTAAACCTAACTAAGCCTTCTATCAGAAAAACTTAACAATAATAATAAAAATATATAACAAATCAAAGTAAGTATTTAAGCCCTGTCTTAGATATAATCAATGTAACACTAAGTCACTACAACAATACGCGGAAATCCAACAATTTGGCGGGATCAGTATTGTCAGAGGTTGGGCTTGTCACTGTCCCGGAGCTGTGAGATCTCGTTCCTTGATTATATTCAATTTATTTCCAAATAATTAGAATTGATCGCCATCATTTCTAACAGGCCTTTTAGTAAATTACACTAATACAATATACGCAGTAAAAACGTCTTAGACTTACAAGAAGTCCTAGATTGAATGTAGCTCGCCACTTTGTTCAATATTAATCCAATAAACTTAGTAACCAAACACTCAAGAGATAATCCGTGTACGAGTAATTAGCGTAAAGTCGAATAACTTAATAAAAATAACGACAAAAATGTGTTACTTGCAATTCGAACATTTAAATTGATACAAATCATTTTCAGATTATTAAAATTTATTCATTGAATTAGATGAAATGACAATACAACGGAGCCTCATGAGAAAATTGCTATGAAATCGACCTTATTAGGTATATTCATTTTTATCAAATTCGAACAAAGAGTGTATATGCTACACGATATCCTTCGCCATTTGTAAACTGTGCTCGAAGTTTTTTTCATTTAAATTGGTAGAAATTTTCTATTGTTGGCAAATTAAGAGGCAAAAAGTACAGGTACTACAATCATTCATCGCGGCGGTAAGACCCGTTATGGAGGATTGGCTCGAGAGGCGTCACGGGACCCTCTCATACCGACTGACGCAGGTGATCACTGGGAAAGGATGTTTCGGGCCAACGCCTGAGTGCCACTACTGCGATGGCCAGACCGTGGACACGGCTCTCCACACGCTGACAGAGTGCCCGGTGTGGGTTGAGCAGAGGCGAGACCTCGTGGCGGCCATCGGAGTGGGAGTTCTCTCGCTCGATAGCCTGATTGCGGCTATCGTGCGGAGCGAGAGTGCGTGGAACTCTGCCGTCTCCTTCTGCGAGCAAGTTATGCTCGCGAAGGAGACGGCGGAGCGGGACCGGGAGAGGTTTAGAACTCTCCCGGCCAGCCAGGCCCGGGAACGGGCTAGGTACCGCAGGCGACTCAGGCGCCAGAGGTCACAGAACGACCTCCGTCCTCCATAAGCGCAGGCCTGGGGGTGACAGGTGAGGCCATCTGTCACCCTAGCAGAAGCAGGCCGGGGTGGCGGCGAGTGCGTTGCGAAGCGCGCTCGCTTCCAGAGAGCAGAGGGAACATGGGGTTCCCACACGGGGGGGGGGGTCGTCTACTCGTCTGTAGATGCCCCGAGGTATGTCGGGGCACCAGGGACTTCCTTTCTAGGGTATACCTGGTTCCCCGGCTATTAGTACCCGAGACGGCGTGCGATTTTAGTCGGTTCGAGTCCGACATGCCACCGATAGGTGGTATCCGAGGGGATTTCCACACGGAAAAAAAAAAAAGGTACTACAATCATAAGAATTTATTTCACCTCTTATCGTCAGATGGCGCGTCTGCTCGTTTGCCCGCTAAACCATAGAAAACCAAAATAATGCAAAGTTTTAATTGAGTTGTGTGCAAATTAACCACAGCAATTAAAAAGTTCATCAGACTACGGACATACACATAAAACTTAACGGTTTTACATAATCTCAATATATAATATTTGTTGCAGCGAACGTATGCAAGTGTCACTTCGAGTTGCAGTACATCCCGCCAGTGAAGAGGCCGCGCCCGCCCCCTCAGAGGGAGGAAGACTATCCACCCATCGAAATCGGTACTGTTGACTATACTCATCAAATAATATTCTATACAGCAACGCTGAACGTAGACAGCGAGAGTGTAATCAAAGCGGAACAGTAACGTCGTCAATTATTAATCATTTTGACAAAAAAATTGACAAAAAATTCTACAGAGTATCCACTAATTTTACAGTACTGTATACAGATGTTATTTTATTGAAATTAAGGTAATAAGTGATATTTTAACAGAATTATAATATTTGTTTGAATATAAATGTTCATGCTCAATCAACACAAATCGCTCACAAAATAAAAGTAAACTCATATCAGGAGAAAAAAGTACAATTGAATGAAGTTAAGTTTATTAAGTTGTTGTCGTGATGCTCATCACCAAATAAAAGCGAACTTCCTAAGCAGGAGATTAGATAAGATTAAAGGACGATGAACGTCACTGACATTACACGCTGTCTCCGCCGTAAATACTCACGACTAACTTTATCTAATCTTCTTTCCGCAAGAACTAAGTTCACAAGTTTTAGTCTCGTAAACTTCTGAATGACTCATAATGAAACTTTCGGTATATGTTATTAAACATGCAGTATTTGACAGTAAAATTAATATTCAAACAGAGTCTCTATTTAAATATTAATTTTATTATTATAAAGAAAAAGTATTCTATATTTCTGCAGTTTTAACTATAACTTAATACCAGAAGAATACATGTTATAATTGCTAAATATTTATACGAGAGAAAATAAATTTAAGTGAATGTCTTAAACAGAATGAGACATAATCATTGTTGTGTAAATAAAGCAGCAAAAAATACATTTGCAATATATGGCTTACGGGTACAATCTTGGAGGACACACTCTCGACACAAATCCCCTCCCTACGAGCAGTCAGATTAAATGTAGGTTAACGTGATTGCTGTTCACTTGTGACACACTACTACTGCCACACGTGAGAGTAATCTTGGAGCTTTAGCGACAGTTTCATGCTTGGTTTGATTTTAGTCACTTACACCTACCTACCTGCCTACCTACAGGGTTAGTGGGTAAGTCGACCTTAATACTTTAAGGTGTTGCAGTTGCCATCGCTTCTGATAGATTTCACTATGAAATACCATATCCCAAACCCAACCATTTTCAAGATATTGGACTTTTAAGATTTTTATGAAAAATTGCCGAAAATTTAAAATTTGAAAAAACAAAGAGCTATTAATTTTTTTCAAAATATCAAAACACGTAACGGATTGGGATGGATGCGAACTAAAATATAAAATTGTGACGTTGTACCTGCGTGACACAGTGACTGAACCACCGATGCTGACCCGCGTGTGCCCCTGTTTTCCTCACTGCAAGCCGTTTATACCAGATGCGCCGGAGTCTATCTCCCTCGAGTATATTAACATGCCGCTGCGGAAAGGTAAGGGACCTGTTATATATCTCGTACTTCAAGTTATAGCAATATTTCATTATTTTAAATGAATGAAAGTTTAGTTCACCGGAAAACATACACACTGTTATACACCGCGATATGTCGTTAAGTAATTGGTAGGCAACCATTTTTGTAGGTACCTAGTACACAGATGTTATGTCAAATTCTGTTTTCATGTGTTCCTATGCTAATAAATTTGCTGTTAAAGTTGTTGTTGTTGCTTGGTAATAAAGTTCCTCTAGTAATACTGTAGGTATAAAAGTAAGTTATAGTCTGCAAAAGAACACTACAATATTATTATAACACAAAAAAACCTAGAAATTTCACTGCCTGAAGTTATGAAAATATATTTGTACGTACAAGACGAGAAATATCGTTACCTCTCGGAACTGTCAAAAAGTTGGTGCCCTTATTGTAGGTGTGGAGCTTGAGCGACTTGAGAACTTTATCCGACCGGGTGAAATAAACTAACTTGATACTTTGTACACAAACAATGTAACTGCTATTTGTTTTAGGTTCATACCTCAGCTCAGAATTGAATTACTAATGGAGTTTGTTGTTGGTTTTATTTTTAATTCAGTAAAAGGCTCTTTTCTCACTTATGTTTGTGTGCAGAATATATCTAATACAAATGGATTTTAGTGTGTTAACATCTTCAATAGTTTAGAACAATATTATGATTTTTACTAAAGAAATACTTCTGTTAAGTGTACGTTTGTATTTAGATGATGTTCTATTAGTTTTGGGTTTAACTCTATGAGTGCTATAGTTGCGGCTTTATTATTAAACGCAACATTTTATAGACGTTTTGTGGGGACAGAAGATAAACTTCTCGCAACCAAGAATGATATTGTATTGCAGTGTGTAAGCGGCGCTTGTTGCTGCGTAACGAGTCAATAGTAACGGCACACTGGACCGCGGCCATCAGAAGGTGGCCACGACGACACAAGAGAACCATAGAGACTGGTATGTACTTAATACTGTTATATAAGTGAAATCAAGTCATTGACACACTTCGGCAGTAAATTTAGGCCTTTTTAACGTTTATTAGATCTAATCATTGGCTGTGTGTAATAAAATTTACGGTAAAAAATCGTAACTATTCTTTTTTGTCAAAAACCTTAAACATATTTTACTTAAATTACATTAGTTTAGTATTTAGTTCATTAAGCATTTTAGCAAAAAATATTTTAAAACATTTTTTATAAATTCAATGAATAAAACTGGTAAAGATTATTGAAAATAAAACAAATTACAACTTTTCCGTTTTCCCGTCGGGTGAGCGAGAAATTATTAATCCCCGAAGCAAATATATTAAGCGTTCATATTTTTAAACTTCTTTTCATAATTAAAAATGCAGGCTAAAGAAATGCTCCTGCTTGCTTCTTTAATAACCAACCTAGAAAACTAACGATACTTTATTTCTCACTTTTGATTAGATATTACCCGAATATTACAGTTTTGTACAAAAACCTTTCGAATTATTTATTAACTAGCTGATGCCCGCGACTTCGAATTCGAATTTAAAAAGCGCTGCGTTAGTGAGTTTGATTCCCGGACGAGGCAAAATTTATAGACAGCTACTCGGTAATAAAATATTATCAAAATCGTTCCAGCCGTTTCGAAAATTACCCGAACAATCAGACAGACAGACAAAAATATTTTGAACTGGTTTTTTTGCATAGATATCGTGCGAGCATGAAAAATACCTATTATTTTGCCATTACAAACATACACTTCAATTTTATTTATTTATTTAGATGAAAGGTAGTTTTAACAGTATAATGCGAGTCGATATGTTAGTTTTCCCACTTGTAATGTTAATATTAACCAAAGCGCATGATTTTGTCAATCAACTTATAAAAAATATTTGTTAATAAAATACTAGGTTAATAACAACTTCTAACCTAATCTATGTGTCTGGACGGGCAATTTATGTATTCTAAAAAGTGCTCATTTATAATGGATCGTGCGTGGGAGAGCCACGCTTCAGTATAAACGGGTCGGCTCGACCGGAGTGAAAGCACGCCCTCACAGGAAACTAGTGTTAAGCAATTCTTTTTTACTTTTCACTGCATGAGTAACGTTACCGGAGCCCAAACCCCCCGGCTGGGAACGCAGTTGTGACTTTTGAGTTGCGTCTGTCCAGGGACGTGGACATTTACCATCGGGTGGTCAGGCTGGTACTTTGCCCTCGTAAACAATAAAAAAACCAATTAATATATACAATATGGACCAGATCTACTTATTAAGTGATAGTTATAGTGATAGTAGATTTATCGTTTAGATGATAGAACTTTTATTCACGTTATAGAAAAAAGTGATCAAACATGCATAATTTAAAGTTTACAAATACATTAATTAGTGACAAATCTAAGCTTAGGTGACAAAAAATATAATTGCCTTAATATAATAATAGCGTACAGCAAGCAGCGACGTAACAACTCGACACTGACACACTACACACACTTCAATTTTCATTTTAATAAAAAAGACAATGGACGATTTTATACAATTTTATGAAATAAAAGAAATCAAATTTGAAATTTGTTTTCTATCTTTCAGATGTCGGCATTTGTTCCTTTTTTTTGTTTCAAAATAAATCTTTTTTAGCTGTATTTCATGAAACTGTAAAATAGATAACCAAATTTGTGTAGATAATTCTAGAGATTAGTAGAGATACGTTTAATCCTCAAAACGTGGTTTTTAAATAATCTAAGAGTAAAACAATTGTAATGATATACATATGTATGAAATAAAGACAGTTTAAGTTTGAGTTTATGGTTAATTGGTTGATCAGTGTGATCAGTCGTACTTAGCGTGGATGAAGTTCACCCACAAGTAACAAAGTTAAGCGATCAATTACAATAAAGCAGTTTGCAAGAAACTTACAACTACCTTGCAGCTAACTTCACTAAGTTAATTAACGTCACCTAATTTGTGGATCGCTTGCTTCCTCAAATTTAGTAACTGGGCTATCAAAGTTTTATATCGTTTACTGTCTTATATTTTGATTTTACAATTTCACAATGAACTAAGAGTGCGTCGGGAGTTCTCACTTGCTATGTATGTAGCTAAAATCTTGAGGAGTCAAGTGTGTAACAAGACAGTGCTGGAGCGCCTGAGCCTCGGTGTGCCGGACCCCTATGTGTGGAGGAGGCGACATCCACCACTGCTAGTCGTTCCTGCGGCCAGAACCAACTTACTGGCAAAAATGCCACTTACTCGCGCAATCCGTGTAATAAACGAAACTAGCACTAGAATTGATATATTCTCGTGTAACTCGAGTGAGCTCGCGAGGGTTATAATAAATGTAGTATCGTATAACTTTTAATATTAAATTTTTTTACTTCTCGTATGATTATTTGCTTTCTTTTCATTTTTAGTTCTATTTCTGTTATTTTAAAGTTATGTAATTATGTGTTTAATTAGTTTAATATTAGTTGTAGCCTCACAATCGCATTGGGTTTCCTGTAAGGATTGTGTAGGATGTGTTTGTGATAAATAAAAAAATAAATAATTTTACATACCGCTCAGATCCATCACAAGATCAATATATAGATTTCCGACCCTGGCTTCTTCGGGCTACTGCTCTATACTTTCGTTACCTCAATTCACACTCTTCCTTTGTTCTATTTGAAAACAATTACATTCTAAAATTTCATGGAAGGCTGGCGTCAGACTGGCAGCTAGCCACAAAATAAATAAAAAAAAAACCTTTATACTCTAAACAAAATTTGGATAAGAGGCGGCAGATGATGATAGTACAAAACATTTATGGTTCTAATAAATATGATTGTAACAGGAGTCCTGGAGGGTATCCTGTTAGTAAATTCTTACTATCTGTTCTTATGAAAACGCGCAATAACACTAATGTCAGTCGAGTGTTGCTTCTTCCTTCCCCTTTCTAGTTATCGTATGTTTTTTAGGACAACCCAAGTATTAGGCGATATATGTAGGTGTTCTGTAGAAAGACTGTTGTTGACTTTTTAGAGCTCCAACTGCGTAAAGATTAAGTAAGTAGACGACGTAATCACGGAAGGGTCTCAATAAGTTAAGAATGGTCACCCATCCATAGACTGATCTGGCTATGATTGCTTAACTTTGCAATGTAATCTAATACTCGGTTACCACTTAGTCACGAGCTTCTTCACGTCTGACCACGTGTATCCAAAATTTTAAGACAATCGGTTGAATTAACAAAATATGAGAACATTGCGCTACGTTACCCTTGTTAGCAAAGATAACATTTTTTCCCTAAAAACTTTATACATGACAAACTTGTGAGTGTCAAACTTTCTTATGAAAAACAGCCTCAAGGACACGAAGAACTTCGAAGTGTGTGCCCTCGGGAACACCACTCTTATTATGTATTCCACGACGAAACTAAGAAAATTCGATGCAGGTTTTGACATTGTGTTAAGCCAATTTTATTTATAACTTGATTAATAAAATTACCAGCAAATATTTGCTTACATCAGAAACAATGACTACTTAGTAATTTTTTCGTACATTTGAAGCGATGAATAGTCACATTAAGTATATTACTGGAGCGAGTAAAATATTCTTAGATCTTCAGTTCCCGAGAAGTCCGCGAGAGTAAATAGATGAGAGAAAATACTGAGCTCATTTGCTTTGAGAAAGATGAGTGTCATTGTCTTTGTCCACTCGATCAAAGGAATTTTATTTAAAAATCCTTTTATAATACTGTAGGGATATTTTGACACAAAGTTGTTCAGAAAATACTTGATATGACGTGGCTTAGACATATCTGGTGATGGCCACGGTCACATCACGGTTTAATCACAGTAATTATACATTACCTAAACAATAACACCGCCCACCTTATCTTAAGTATAGTGAGTGACTAAGCTAATTTTTGGATATTTTTCAAACTTTTCTCTACCAATTTTAATCACAACGTTTTTTTTGTCAGAATTATGAATAAATTTTTTTTTGGTCATTTTATTTTTAATTAGAGTTGGCTGTCTATTTTTTGTTTTATCTTTGGCATGTTGATATATTTGAATAGTTATAATTGAGCCTTATCGTAAGAGAGCCATGGTTAACCTACCAGGCTCGAGTGATACCCAAAGAGCTTATAAATATAGAGGAAGCGAACAAGGCACTATCGCATACGGTTGGTAGAGAGAAAGTAGATTGTTTTGGTCTTGCATCTCTCTCTGCTCTTGTCGCTGATTGGCTATTTTAAATGTCCTCTTCAGTATTAGCCAGTCAGTCCAGAGAACCGAGAGATGCATGACAAAAACAATATTTCTCTGTCTAACCTCCATACGCTACCATTTACAGATGAACATTCAGTTTGCTTCCTCTATTTTATTTTCTTAATGGTGATACCACGGCCTCACATACCATGGTTCACAGAGAAACTTTGCTATTGGAACCCAAACCCTCCCCTTCTACCTGATTCCGGGAGAAGGGACTGAAATGGAGGCAACGCACTTGTAACTCTTGAGTTGCAGGTGTGCATGGAAGGCGGTGCTCACTTACCATCTCCTAACCCCTCTGCTCGTTTACCCCCTACACCATAAAAATATTAATGCACTGACTTTATTACTGAGAGTTCTATTAAAATATTGACTAATCTATATACCTGTCTGCATAGATATACTATCTAATTATAAACAAAACTAACTTTGCTAACCTGAGAGTGCATTTTTCTCCTATGAGAACAGTAGGTTTTTTATTTAGATAGAACATATCTTTATGGAAAATTTATCATGATAGGTAGAGGAGTTATGCGTAACAAACAAATAAATTTACGGTTCCAAAACCGACGTATGGAAACTGACAATAAAAACAATCTCCTCAGATGAATATCTAAATGAACATTTAAATGGAAACGAGATATATTCAGACGTTTATTCAACCACTTATCACAACAATTTTCTCCATATATACATGTTAGCGATTCTATTCGACACAGATATAACCAACACTTAGAGCTAAGTAAGTTCGGCCTCTGTTTGATGAAAACTCCCAGCGCAACGGCTGTCGGTGACATGAATAACTTATTTAATATCGACGTCGTTGAAACCTTCGCTGCAGTAAAACTGCCGCTTTAGTACCTTTATGAGTTATTCCCGAACGTCCAAGATTTAAGGAAGTGTATTGTTTTAATATCGAACGACTTTAGGTAACGTGTCGTGTTTTGTTTTATGTGCACTACCACCGTTGAAAGTTACGTCTAGATAAACTTTGACATTTTAGTCATTACAATTTATTAGTTATATTAAGTTTAAACACCCAAGTGTACAAGTAAAGCAAGATTTGGAAACACCACCGGGAAAGGTTGGTTCGAAATCACCTGTGTCTGATCTGCAAGGAGCAACGTCTGAGTGCCATTACTGCGATGGCCAGATTGCCCAGCGTGGGGGAGTAGAGGCGTGACTTCGTGGTGGCCATCGGAGTGGGAGGCCTCTCGCTCGGTAGATGTTTTGCCGCATTGGTATGGAGCGAGAGCGCGTGGTACCCCGCCGTCTTCTTCTGCGAGCAAATCATGATGAGATGGAGGAGCGGTACCGGGAGAGGTTTAGAACTCTCCCGGCCCGCCAGGCCCGGAGGTCGCAGTAGACCTCCGTCCCTCCATAAGCGCAGGCTTGGGGATGACAGGTGAGGCCATCTGTCACCCTAGCAGAAGTAGGCCGGCGTGGCGGCGAGACGCGCTGCCGAGCGCGCGCGCCATTTTGGGAGCACAAAGAGGAACATGGGGGTTTCCCTACAGGAGGGGGTCATCTACACGCCGTGGATGGCCTGAGGTACGTCGGGGTACCAGGGATTTCCTTTTTAGGGTACACCTGGTTCCTCGGTACCCGAGACGGGCGTGCGGTTTTTTGGTCCGGTTCGAGTCCGACATAATCAATCCGACCGATAGACAAAATAAAAGGTGGTTATCCTCTTAGCTTTTAGATTAGTAACCTCTTAGCCTATAAATTAGCACCTAATTTTCATAATTATTCAATATTTACAGCCATCCCAGTTTCAGATTGTCAAATTAAATCATCATCATCAAACTGTTTACTAAACGTCAAAAAGGTTGTATTTGTCTTTGAGATACATATTTGTATGTTCATGCATTGTGTAATTATTTCCTAATCAAACATTAGTCTTTAACATACTCGTACGTATCGGTAACTCTGACAATTTATGTTTAATTATTTCGTCACATTTGCCGGATGTGAGCACTTGTGTGCGCTTTGCGATTGTCAACATTCCAATTATCTTTTAATATATATTTCTTTGCTATTACAACACACACATGGACCTAGTAAATCAATTTTATTTTTATTTTGTTTATTTTTTCGCTCAAGGTAATTTAGATATTGACAGTTAATTATTTAAGATAAAAAATTCTTTATGATATTCCAGACTATAATATATCTCTGTCAAATTTAATTCAGATGCGTAATTGCATTATGTGTAAACGTTTTAATGGAATTTAAGGCTATCACCTAACTTTTTACGCAATTGCGTCAATGAACCGTGGACGTGTTTATGTTATATTCACGAAAATTTTAATGTAGTTGACTTAATAAATGAACTTGAGTTCTTTATTAAAATAAACAGATGCACTACAAAAGGTCTCTTATGTCATGAGTTCGTACCAACCATAAAGCAGCAAAACGGAGGAAGGTTACTTCGTATTCATGCAACAAATAAATTAGTATAAAGTTATTATATGGGTCCGAAGGTTATTAAGGTTATAATAAATGTACTTGGATTAGTAACAATTCTATAATCATCACACGTAGACGAAACTTACACGTTTGCTAGACATTTTTTACAATACAGGTTGACATCAGACGAGTCCTGTACGTACTTTCAAAAGTAAACAGTGAGCATTGTGCTAATGTATCCTAATTGAATTCTCCCACAGATCAATGGGCGGGTGACGTGTGCGAGTCGGGCGTGGCTCTCTCGTGCCACCCTACAAGCGGGGTGCTCGCGTCGTGCGCGCACGTCGAAATTATCGTGCAGGTTTATGCCGACTGCTGGGGAGTCTACCGGGACCAGATACTCATACAGGTGAACGACAAAGACCACGAGGTTACGAATAACTAGTATACTAGTACATTTAGTAAGTCGTTTTTGTTTTTCACTCTTTCCTTTATTAATAAATGTATCCACATATCAGTAATCATCATCAAATTATGAAAGTTTATATATTTTTTAATATCCATCGTTCTAAACAGTTATTATGTAGGTTTCTGGACACTTATTATGTATGTACGTATTTGGTTCTAGTTACGAGTAGCTTACCGGAGGAACAACCGTCTAATTACACTAGAACTTGCTCAATTGTTCCTGCTTAATAAAATAGACACGACTAACCAAAAAGTCGGCGCAAGTCCGGCCGCATATGGAATACTGTTCTCATCTCTATGCAGGGGCACCTTAGTACCGGCTTCTCTCTCTGGACCGCATCCAACGAAGAGCGACTCGAATCGTCGATAGCCCAAACATCTTCGATCGGCTCGATCCCTTCATTCTGCATTCTCTATCGCATATATCATGGAGAGTGCTCCGAGGAATTGTTCGGACTAATACCAGCCGCAACTTTCCGCCATCGTTCCTCATGGCAAAATTTTCATCCTCATCACCTGGATAGTTGGCGCTTCACTACTGTGCGCTTTTCGAGACACATTTTGCCCCGCACAACCAATCTGTGGAACGGGTTTTCCTCTGCGGTAATTCCGGACCGATACGACCTTCAAGAAAAGAGCGTACTCCTTCCTACAAGGCCCCAACGCGTTTGTGACTCCTGAGTTGCAGACGTTCAGGAGTGGCGTTGGACACTTTCCATCAGGTGCTTTCCGTCTGCTCGTCTGTCACCTGTAACATAAAAAAAAACACAGCAACGATACTATCTCTAATCTAATAACAAAAAAAAAGTATTTTTAGAACAATGTTCCTTATCGTGCGTTACACGGTCGGAACGAGGCTGAAAAATGTGTAACAATACTGTTTTCGATAATTCTTCTTCTTCGTGCCGATCGGGGGTCCATAGACCTCTCTAGCCGTTTCTTTTAAACTAATTCTTTTACCTGAATTATGCCGTTCCTCAAAATCTGCCAGTTTATTACTTTTAAATATGAAGGTATTTTGCGCCGCACATTCTGTACTAATATAACTAAATGACCTTATAAACACATAGTAAATAATTATTAATTATTTATTTAATTTAGGACAAGGACAAGATAGGATATTATTTATTTAGTAGATCAGGTCTGATTATTTTATTTAATCAGTCTTAAAAAGTCAGAAATAATATTTTAGAATAATTTTGAGATGAAAACACAAATTTTCAAAACATCAGAGAGGGAAGAACGAACATAGTTTTATAACTTGTTTATTCTTTTATACTCGTCATGTTACCCGAGTAAACTAAATTAAAGTGTGTACATTGTGTGTTTAAACACAGTGGAGACAAGTTAAGTGCTGTCGCGTCGTTCGTGGAAGTTGAGCGCTGCTCCGGGTGCACTCAGCGACGCGAACATAACACGCGTCAAGAAAACAATGGACGTATCACTGCGACTCTTTTTCATTCACACTTCAACTTTCACTTATATAATGATAACTTTTGCCTGCGTAGTTAAAGAATCTTTTGTAATAAATATTATCTAAGTATCAAATACCCCATGTCTTACCTTATGGTACAGTTAGTAAGGTGTCACTTGAAATTATAGAAACTGATTTTGCTCACAACTTCGCTGAAGGTAATGTAGATTTTGACAATCAATTTCTGGAATAAAAAGCAATCTTATTTTATTCCAGCGTATAATCTGTCTCTCCCAAATTTAATCCAGATCTGTTCAGCCGTGGTTTAGAACCAAATATTTATCTATCTCTTTAAAATAACGCATATGTTAACGAACATATTACGAGTTAAGACTATTGATCAACGATTTACCCTAATGAGAGGAAATTAAACACTTGTGTAGAAAGTTGCAGATTTGAAATTTTAAAATCACCAATACGAAAAATCATGCCATAAAACAAAAAAAAACCTAGATTAAGGAGGGACCTACATAAGTGTTTACTATCTGCAGGAAGTTACACGGAGAACAATGTGGTATGAACCAGTGAACAGACTATTCATATTCTGTTTTTTTTTTTTATTATTTTGTTTAAAGCTTACACCCATATTAAGTCAGTATTAATACTGCGGTTAGTGACGAAACGTATTCTTACATAGAGGTTTAATGTTCACAGTTCACACCAAAATCATTTGGAGACTTGACAATCTTTGATTGTTTGATGATCCTTGAAAGCGAAACCAGTCGCTTTTCGATCGCATTCTATTTCGGAGACTCACTTGTATTGGGATCTTATTACGTGACTCAAATAAACAGTTCGGGTGCTCGTCTCATACCAGTTTTAAGAAATCTAATGATAGAATTAGATTGAACAAAAACATATAATATTTTTCTAAAACTTTTTTTTTTTTTTTTTAAAAGACAACTCCCGCTTTAGGAATATATATCCTGTGTCGCGGGGGACTTTACAAACATACATGAAACGGACACAAAGAACACCCAGACTCAGAACAACAATTTGTGGATCACACAAAGTGTCTACCCATGTGGGGTTTGAACCCACAACACTCGGCGTACTAGGAAGCGGCGTGGCGACCGCTTAAACCATTCCGCCATCCGTGCAGTCGATTATTTGGTTGAATAATGCCAGTGGCAATACTTTTAATTAAACATACAGACTTTTAAACATTAACATATAAACAATAATGTAACACTTACGAACGTGTGTAGATAATTGGTTTTGAGAATGAATACTTAAATGATTACGTTCAACTTCCTTTGACAAACTTTTGAATAGCATAATATAATTAACTACCTATATCTATACAATATAAATTAATTGAGAAAAATTTGTATTGAGCCTTCCCATATAGGAATATAATCACTTTGTTTGACAGTGCTGTTGTCCTGCTTAGTTTGCTCCCTTAGTCGGTTCTTACGACACCCACGGGATGAATTGGGGTGGTGACAAATTGTATTCTTAATCCGTCACCACACGGACTGAAATTGTGGCTACACAATCACAATGAATCATTGATTTATTGCCAATTATTTCGTGATAACACAATATCATATTTATTTGCGCAGGTGGAGAATGTCGACCCTATTGTGGTGGATATATGGATGCAGGTGATTGGATCACCATTACAGTTCAAGATTCAGCCAAATTACTCGCAAGATGAGTTGCCCATTATGTGGTAAGTAATACCATAGCGTCAGAAAACGATTAAGCAACCTATTAAAAAAGCTTCTCGGACTTCTTTCTAATGCCTTAACTTTTTTCCGGCAGAAGTTTTTTTTTTAATTATGTAGGAGTAATCTTAAGTACAGCCAATCCGCTAAACAAGTATTTTTAAATTCAGTTTTATAAATAGCGAAGTTATTGCGGAGCATATACAAAAACAGTTTAGTTGAAATGAGAACCTCCATCTTTTTTAATTTCATAAAGGTTTTTTTAACCTTTTGAGGTAATATTACAACATTAACATTACAATAATAATATGTTTACAGTAGTTGTTATTATACTAGTTCTATGAATAACATAAGTCAATGATATCGGTACTTTAAAAGATTACGATCGAGACTTTACAAAATTTACTTAGAAAACTTATTTGATCCATTCGAACAATGAATCATGTTTCTAGTTACTCTAAAACCGTTCACGATAACCGGTGTTATATTCACAGGATGCTTCAGTCGTATAATTAAATAAAATTGTTAAGAAAAACTAATCTCAAATTTGTTTTCTTTGAATAATAAATTGGAAATGGGCACAAGGAAACTTGTTAAGTAGAGCCCGAGATTTAGTTACAAAAGTTGTTAAGAGGATGAATGAACCAGAAGCGCTGTTTGATTTTTATCCTTTTAAATTAAATAAATTTATTAAATTATTGGAAATACGAAATTCAGCTACAGCGCAATATAATTACTTAAGAGAACATCGATTTAACCAGCAAAGTGGGATTGCTGTCTGTTCGTTTATTGAAACTGTTTTTGTGTCTTGTTATGATCACCTGAGAGCCAAGTAGAACGGACTAGAGTTCGAAACATACTGTCGAGTATGTTATAAATGCTAATATTGTAAACTAATTTTAAAATAAATGCGAATGTGAGTTTGCTTGTTTGTTACGTTCAGTCACCATCAAAAAGAAATCACCATGGTTGGTAAGGGCTCGTGCAGCGTGCAAGCGCCCGGGGGTCAGAGTTGGATTGCGATTGCACAGCGCAACTTTTTTGCTATCTATTTTATTACTGACCCGGTGAACTTTGCATCACCTACATCAATTTATCTATGCATATAACAGTGCCCCTTTTTTAATAGTATGAAGACGTAATCAAATAAATATGTTTGCATGTTGTCTGAGATCATGATACATGTGATAAAATTCGCCAAAAGAAAAACATTAAATCTTCTCCTTCTTCTCATCCTACTGAAGGCACGTAAAACAGATTTTGCCAGTAATAAAAGTTGTGATATTATATTCATTGCCACTCCAACCTACTCTTCTTCACAAAGCCAAACTATAAGTATGTTCAGTACTAATAGCAAATAGGTAACTAAATTGTCAATTGTCGATGGGTCGCAGGTAGTCGCTCATCTCTAGTCGCCCGCACGCTACACTGTTTTTCGTATCTGGAAATCGCGCGACATCGCTGGCACGCTGCACGGGGCCCAAGTGTATAAGTTTCAGGGGTAAAGAAAATGTTTGATGGCTCGTTTAGTTTTACAAAAACATTCGCGATCCGCGTACAAAACTTAGTTGTAAAGATGATATTAATCTAAATTTAATAAAAGTTTGCTGTTATAATTATAGTGTATTATTAGTCCAGAGGTAGCCCTGTTGGTTATCTGTTCGATAACTGTACTAATACGATCACTATGGGTATGCGACCCTGGACTGTACTAGCTGCTGCTGTCACAGCTCTTTCCCGTGACAACAGTAACCTATCTCCTTCCTGAGTGTCCTACTCCTTTCCTAACTCCCACCACCTTTAGCGGATGCCTCCCGCTGAGATCGACTGACAATCCCGGTCAGACACTAGTTTTAACATATGCTAAAACCATAGGTCTGCATCAGATGCCCTGTTGATGCCTAGGGGCGTCCTTATCTCTCGCCGGTCGTAGCGGCTCCCCGTTCCTTTGGATACAGAGAGACAGGGATAAGAGTGCACGCACCTGTGTTCGCGCACACACTGCCGTTTTTTTTCTTTAACGTTTCGTACACTTTAATATCTCCTGCTCAACTGACTTGGCTCTGACAAGGGACTCCGACAAGCAATAGGCCTGCGGCGATGGACAAAGGTAGAGAGGTCTAGTTGTGATGCCAGCTTTGTCCAGCCAGAGGGCTTTGTCTGATGTCTGCACGCAGGCGACTTGGGGCATTGCATTGCATTGGGTTAACAATGCGATTCGGCAGCCCCCTAGGCGATGAAGCAGCTCTATTCAGAGAGGACCTGCTTCCTCCAATCCGGGAGGGCACTAGAAAAGGTGTCCCAAAAAAGCTTAACCCACCATTCTCGGCGGTAGTAACCACGACTGTCTCTCCATCTTCTATAACGTGGTCTAAAGCAGAGTAAAAAATAGCAAAAACAAAAAACAATAATCTCGAAATATGATATTTGCAACATGGAATATACGCACCCTCCTTTGTGAAGTCAATTTGACTCCACCTCGAAAAACCGCCTTCGTATTCCGTTAACTTCGCCGGTATGGTGTGGATATTGCTGCTCTCAGTGAGCTGGCTGACGAGGTGAAGAAGGTGGAACGCAATGGCGGATATACTTTCTTTTGGAAGGGCACCCTGTCTTCGGAGCCCAGGAGGTCTGTGCATATCTCGGACCAATGAGAATTACCTCAATGTCATCAGCGTGTATGCGCCAACGATGGGCAGGATGACGAAATCAATGAGAAGTTGTATGAGGAGGTCACGCGTGCCCTCTCCAGGATTCATCTTCCTGAGCAGGTACTACGGGTGGATGACCTACACATTATCGTTTATGTGCCAAGTTTGAGCTGGCTATTACCAACACTATGTTCAGACTGCCGGCAAAATATAAGACCACATGGATGCATCCAACGTCAAAACACTGGCACCTGATTGACTATGTAATTGTTAGACAAGCAAATATTTCTCAGGTACAAATCACGCGCGTAATGCGCAAAGCCAATACTGGCTTGTCATTACAAAACTGAGCCTCAGCATCTTCCTCGTAGACTACAAGGAGTAAAGCTTAAACGCCTAGACATAGGGAAGTTACAAAGTCTAGATATGCGTGGTACCTACGCCCGGGCAGTTGGTGATGTAGTCCAAAAGATGGACGTTGAGAATGATGATGCTGTGTATAACTAGCAAACACTGTCGTCCAATCTAGTCTCAACCGCCTCGCAAACAATGGGTTTCAGAACCACGGACACGAGGATTGGTTCGACGACAATGATAAATATTTGACCAAAGCCATCCGGAGGCATCGCTCTCTCCTGCGTCGGCACCGTGACGATCATCAGACAGAGCAAGTCAAGCGTAGTGGTGCCGAGCTACGGAAATATGTAAGACAAATAAAGGATAAGTGGTTGCAAGATAAAGCTGAGCGCATACAGTGGCTTGCCGACACCAAACAGCTGGGTGCATTTTATGATGAAGTTCGTAAACTTTTTAGAGCTACAATTTGTATTAGAGTGCCCCTGAGATCTCTCGATGGCACACAATCGCTTACTAGCAAGAAAAATGAACTCGATAGGTGTTAAGCAGTTCATTTTAACACCTTGCTTAATGTTGACCATGCTGCGGATATCACGTACATCAGCTCGATTGCAAGACTTCCCACGATCAATAAGCTTGATGCCCACTGACTATGCGCGAGGTAACTGATGCCATCAAACAACAACAGAACCAAAGCGGTCGGCATTGACAACGTACCTTAAGAACTGCTTAAGTATAGGGGCAAGGAACTGCACGTAACCATTTGGAAGTTGTTCGTCTAAATGTGGGATGAAGAGCGAATACCTGACAACTTTCGAGTCTCTCGTATTTGTTTCCTATATAAGAACTAGGGCGACAGATCTGATTAAAATGCCTATAGGGGGTAACTCCCTTCTTACTTCTCCGGAGAAACCCAATTTGGTTTCCGACCAAACCGAGGCATGAGTAAGGCTATTTTCTCTGTCCGTCAGCTACAAGAGAAAAGTCGAGAACAGGCTTAAACGCTGTATTTATATTTTGTTGACTTGGAAAAACCTTTTGACAGCGTATCTCGCGAGAGTCTCTGGGTGGTCCTGAAGAAAATTGGATGCACGTATAAATTTATAAAAATGATCCGATTGGCGAAGATTTCGAGTTCTTCTCAGTGAGTTGCGGCGTAAAGCAAGGTTGTGTGCTTGCTCCGACTGTTTTCTCTCTGTACTTTGCAGTGGTGGTAAGGGAGGCCTTGCAGGATTTGTCTGATGGCATTTGTATTCGTATTCGGACCGATGGCGTTGGAGTCTTTAACCTATCTAGGCTTGGAGCTCACACCAAAATATCTCACGCAACCATTACCGAAATGATGTATGCAGACGACTTGTGTATTATGGCGGAATCCGCAAAGGATCTACAAAGACTTATGACGAATCTTGATGGGTCATGTCGTAGATTTGGTCTTAAGATCAGTGTGAAAAAGATCGAAGTGATGTTCCAAGATACACTGAATAGTACCACAGTAAATATTAAGCTCCGCGACGTGTCACTTAAGCAGGTAAACAAGTTCAAATATCTGGGCAGCACATTAACATCAAACTGCCTCCTTGATAGCGAAACTAACAATGGAATTGGAGCTGCCGCTGCAGTCTTTGGCAAGCTCCGCTTCAAGATGTTCCGTTCACATGACTTAAAGCGGGATGAGCTCAAGGCCCGACCACCCGCGGCCATATATTATAATTTTATCGGGGGGTGCTGACTTGCAGTGAATGTGGACTTACAGTCATGGAAAAAATCGGTCATGTCAGTCACCAAGCTCTTATTAACCAGTGCAAATTTGCCGTGGTTGAATACCGTCTGCATTCACACACACACACACACACACACAGTGTATTATTAATTTCTATATAGAAAATGTGAAGATGGCATCTAGCTCAATAAATTTGGAATCTCTTTCTCGAAAGTGTGTAGTTAGAAGATATTGCTTTTCAGATTTGTCAAAACAATTTTATTGCTTCTCTAGTAAAACTCGAGTTAACTAACTTTACTTTTCACATTTTGCAACTAACTCAGATATTTCATGACATAAGTAGAGCGTGGACAAAAGTCTTGTTTAAGAAAACGTACTGTGTAGTATATAAGTGAGAACTTTCATTGTTGTACCAGTGCTTTCTTGGCTTCGTCGCGATTCTGTGATATTAAAGTTTTGTTAATAGAGCACCACTCTTGGGTGCTGTGAAATAACATGTTTTAGGGTTGTATTATACAGAATGTTGTTGTATTGACTTCTCGTTCATTTTGAAAGATTTTTAAATTCATGCATTATTTAATCGTGTTGCAATAAGGAAGTTAAATTATCAAACTGTTTAACGATCAAACGAAACAGTATAGTTATATCAAATTAATTTATGATGGACATTCTGTTTTAAACAATTAAACTTATTTTCTAACCATTATGTATAGTATTAGTTTTTTCTGCTGATCTTTGGTTTGCAACCCTATACATCTTACTATTCCTAGTTTGCTCGTTTTGCCAATTTAGTTGATGCCGACTTTTACAACTATTACGACTTTTGAATGTTTCCAACGCTTACAAACACACTTAAAAAGTTGTAAAAAACAAATGTACAGAGCCGTTATGTTTAGATTCACTTTTATAGCGGTGAGTTCATGTGAGGACAGCGTCACCTTGTGCGGCCGCCATCGGTACTTGTATTAACAGATTGAGTATTAGATGACTATACATATCTTAAGTGTTTAATAACATTTCTTGTTTCAACCTCTTCATTTAATTATAGAACTCGAGTGTTTGGTTAGGTACTTACTTATTACTAGTAACTATCTAATTCTTATATGTCACGTTATTTTAGTACATTAGCAAACTTCAAGAATAGCTTTAAAATGTTAATTCATTCGATGCAGGTTGTCTCCGACGGACGCAAGGCGGTCTCTAGTCGTCAGGAACATATCGCGCTCTGAGCTCACTGTTCAGGCTTACGTCACACGGGAAAATGGTTTGTCTTGATGTATTAAAAATATAACCATACTCACTAACAGGAACTTCTCGACTGGTCCCTTCAATCTCATAGAACACCTTTGTAGTTCTCCTACTAAGTAACATCACTAAAGAGATGATAGTAGACACGTCTACTATTCCTCACTGATTGTTTCAACACACCGTCGATCGGCATTGACTATCGCGAATTTAAAATAAGTTATTTTTGCAGGAGACAATTGTCTGTTTTATGTTGATTTACACATGAACACTTGTCATATAATAGTTAAAAAGTATCATTCTTTCACTTTTGGCAGAACAATAAAACTGTAAATGTACTATCAAGAAAGCAAACAAATTTGTCAAATTTTTACATTATGGCTGATCGGCGACGTTCACACACGAACACACACACACACACTACTTCTACAAATCTAAAGTGCCCCTTCTTCGAATAGCATAATGCTTCACTTGGTATAAATACTACATTCGTTTCATGCCCCCTACCAATTACAGTTGGTATTCCGACCGTCGAGGAATGGGAGGGCCTTACATTCCTCACGAGATTCTCTTTGTATAGAGTCATTGCACAGACTTATGCTATTCGTATTCAGACTTCACAAGGAACCAGCCTAATTGTTTGGTTAGATTAACAGATGATATGTAACTGGGTATTCTGATGTCAAAATGTGTAGATTTAAAATAGATAAACAAAAATTTGCATTGTGATTGTGATATGTATATAATATTTATATAGTATAGATGTAGGAAATAGGTTAGTTTAGTAACACGAATGTATCTGAAGATCAATTCTCGTAGTAAAGTATTACTAAGACTAAAAGAATACCGACTCAATTCGTGAGACATTCATTTCTAAGATTGAGAGTGGATCGGAACTGGATTGGATCTGTATCTGAATTCAGTTTGTACTTTATAAATCGCTTAGTTCCAAGAAATATATGTATTCAATTACCGAAATTGTATCACGGCCTAACAAAGCAAGACAAAACATTCATCTATAAAAACCTGTAACCGCTGATCCTGTCAGGCGGTCTACTCACCGGCTTACCCAGCAGAGATATTCACGAGATTTGGGATTACCTCAGGGCGCCTTGTCGACAACAGAGGGGTACGGATATGTGTGCGTGTGGGCAACATAAGGGCGCGCCGTCTGAGAAGCATCTCTTGCCCCGAAATCTGGAGCCCTACGAATGGATTAACACTCATATAATCGTTCAGATTGCAGAAACAAATGACTACAAGAAAAATAAGATTAACTTACCACTGAAGTGGGTACTTAGGACACAGAATTTACTAAAAATGAATAAACAGACAATCAAAATGCTACTTCAGATCGGAAGACTAGAATTACCAGAGTGTCCCTTGCGGCTGGAAGCCGGACTTATATATGCTCGGTTTGTGAAACTTCTAAAAAGAATCCCTTCTTTATTTAGTCGTGAATTGGAGCTCAATCGAATTCAATTTATCATTGAGGTTAACTCGTCTCAAATTCAATGGTACCCGCTTCCTAACATATCATTACACATTTAACACCAATACAACTCGACAGGATAAATTATCACTACGACATACCGAAAAAACACGCAATCTAGTGGTCCGATGGCGGACGAAGAGACATCAATACTATAGTTACAATCTACTTCGGATAAATCAATAAGTGCGACGCGGGGCGACAAGTGTCACTGTTGACAACTCCGTACGCAATTTAAATAATTATATGGGATAAATAACTGTTACAAACCAAATATTGACATGAATTTTCCGAAGAACTTTACCGTTTTCAGATTGGAATTTCGGGCTCGTTATTCGTTTTGATTAAGAGTTCTCCGCATTAATGATAACAAATCGCTACGAAGCAGACTACAAGAGTTTAACCACAGTCAAGCGAAGTGGAACACTTTACTGGTTAAAGTCGTCTTTACTCGCCTTTGTCATGCAAATGGATTTCGATTGAGCACACAGACCAGTCTTCATTACATCGCTCCACACCATTATACACTCTGGGAGCTTTGTCTTCTCAATCAATCAAAACGAGAATATCGTTTATCACAGGCGTTTCAATATTTGTCACCGGTGCCTGTTCTTAAAAAGATGAAGATTTAATGTGTAGATAGATTGGTACTAACACATATGATTTACCGGAATAATATCTAAGTAATTGTTTCCAGAGCGAGAGCAAGATGTACTACCGTTTAGACTGTACATGCGCATGTACGACATACTGCCCGTTACCTGCCCCTGTGTCACCGCTTTCGACTGTGAGTATTCAATAACATCTATCCTCATTAGTTCTTGGTGCATTCAGTTACATTGTTTGTAAACTATAAAAGCTCAGAAGAATCGTAACATTTTATCCTTAATTCAGCAAATGTTACAAAGTTTGATAATGTAATTTTATCCAATGTCACATTAACTTCATTGCTGGATATAAAAAAAATACTTTGTAATGCGATTCTTTCGTTGCATTTCCCCGAATGAGTGGTTATCGGTGTCCATAGTCCGCCTTCCTCTAATTCTGAGGGGAACTTAAGGTGGGCATCGCGCTTGTGACTCTTGAATTGCTTTCTCGTTTGCTCTCGAGTTCATTTACTTTACTACGATTGTATTCTGCATTAAAAATGTGTAATTAAAAATAATAAAACAAATCAGTCTTTCATGTTCATTTGATCTAGTACTGCACCTAACCGATTACAGTTTGTTTTCATTATTTTGGATGCAGCTGTTAGCAAAACGTCATCAACAACGTCATATGTGTCTTCGGATATGGACACCGGCGTGGAAGTGTACCTCGCGCCTGACCACGGACCGCAGGACGACACCTTCTATAGTGTATGTGTTTTATCAATAATTTCAATGCATTTATCCGGCTATGACTGTTAAAAAATATCCATAGAAGAACTTATAATTGTGTCTTATTGCTGTCTCAGATAACGAAAATAATATAATCAACAAGAGGTGGTTCGCTGTATTTAAAACTTTTTATCTGGCATCCAAGAGCTTTTTAGGGTTCGGTACCTCAAAAGGTAAAAAAGGAACCCTTATAAGATCACTTTCTTGTCCGTCTGTCCGTTTTTCTCAGGAACGGGTAGACCTAGCAGCTTGAAATTTATACCAGATACTAAGGTCTATGGTCCCTATTAGGTGTATTAAAAGCAAGGTCCTGAGTCAACACGATAAATAGATACGGGCAAATTTCGGTACTTTCGGTACTTACAAATTTTCGCGAAAATCTACGTAAAATCTGGGTAGATACGGAACCCTCGGCGCACGAGTTCGACTCGTACTTGACGGGTTTTTTTTTTATTTAATGACCTTTTTCGAGTCAGCATTCGTCCGTATACACTTAAGTTTACCTCTTTATACTCCATTTAATATTCTGTTTTATGCCCTAACCGGTCATCTCGAAATTTGCAACAAGAAGTTCAAACTTTGCGTTGACCCTTTGAATAAAAAATTCTAGTAAACAGTTAAAATATCCGGACAGCAGTCGTAGGTAGGTCCGGATTTTTTTATTGATTGTTTTCTGTCGTAGATCTATAGTAGAACGTCGGTAACAGTACACAATTTGAAAAAAAAAAAACTCTTAAAATGGGACATATTTTTATACTTACATAAAGATCTATTAAACTAATAAATTAAGTTATTACAATTTGTGTGTAAAAAATTGGCAGGTGATGCCTGAAGAATGCTCGATAAAACCAGACGAGTGCATAACGTGGGATGTGGTTCTAGACCCACCGCCATCGCCCGAGACGGCACCTGATACTACACTGATGTTACGACTGAAGCCGCACAAGAAAGCGGGGTAATTACTTGTCAGATTCTTTTAATAGCTTACTTTCATTTCGAGTTTGATGAAAAAAAAAAATTACTAACGTTGCAATCAGTAGAAACGTTCAAATGGCCCACATTACAATTGGTTTGGAAGTCTTCCGTCTAAATTGCATCATTCAGAGTATTTTTAAAAACGTCTATATTTTAAAAGGTATATAAGTAAATAATGCTCTGCCTGCTTTAAGAAATTAACTATAAAATAAAAATAGATCACTATTTATTTCAAACTATCAGTCCATACTTTTTGTCAGAATTTAAAGACGAATGAGGAATACAAAGTTGGGTTTAATGCAATCGGAATACATGTGCTATCAAAAATTCCTGCGTCCCTGCGATCTCAATAATCAGAAATCAAACAATAAAATTATTAAATTATTAGAAAAACGAAATGTAATACTACATTAGCTCCAGGTGGACATTGGCACCATCCAGGGTAACGAATTTAGAAATCACTACATATCAATATTTTCATGTTCGAAACTTGGAAATGTTACTAATTTAAATTTGTACAGTTATTATACTTAAAAGTCACAACTAAAGAAAACTATGGGGGCATTAATTCTCAACGTTTTAGTGACAACTGGTACCGTGACGAGCCACAACCCCAGCTGGTGCAACTTCGTCAGGTAGCGCGCCTGTCTCGGCTCAAGCTGTCATGCGACGAGATTGTTGTCAAGATCTGTGCATTAGACCTACCACTTGGAAATTTCTTAAGGTTAATGTAATTCTTAATATAAATACCGCTTTATTTTCACGCAGGCTATCTTGCAATACGTGTATATGTCATGTGTTGTAATGTTTTTAAATTCATTCAGGATCCGCAAGCGCTTCCGGGTGTTAAATGTGGGCAACGGTATGCTCACGCTAAGATTGCAAACGTGTGTTCCTTGGTGCATCGTCCAAAGTTGTGAGAGCGATAATCAAAAGAGTAAAAAAATATGTAATGATGTAGAAAATAAGGCACTGAAGAGAAATGAAGCTGTTACATGGGATCTGCCACCCACGAGCTCTACTGAGGTAAAGTAAACTGAAACTGTTTTGTGTTATTACGTGCCTTTTTTAGATTCTTAAGGATAAATAAGAAGAAGCAAGGTTGTGTAGTTTGTGAGTTTAGGATGACTGTCGTTTCTTTATTGTACAAACTTAGACTATAATTACATATGTTTAATCTTCTAACGTGTTGCTATAAGGTTTGCGTTGAGGTGTGTGTGACCACGGTGGAGGCCTGGCCGACCAGCATGGTGTCGACTTGCTCACCGTTCTCCTACGCACCACGCCGACGTGAGACCACACCACTATATCTGTACGAAGATTTTCTACTTCTACAGGTATTATTTTCACTATCATTAGAAATGATAACTTAGTACTTGAGTACTTTATAATAGTTTTATTTTATATTTAGCCCAATGTGGCCGATAGGCTACAACTTTGTGTGATGCTATGTAAGCCTAAAACCTTTTTTAGGTATCGTTATATATGCTAATTGATTGGAAAGTATAGAAAAATGATGTTTTAAAACTTTTAGTTATTAAGGGATAAATACATGATTTAAATATATAATCTATCAGTCACATAAGAGATAAATTCTGTCACCTGCTACGAAATCTGTATAAACTGGCAAATGTATTGAGTGTTTTGGACTTTAATAGATTTGAACTTAACATCAATCGGGAACATGAAACTTACCTTCGCTTTGACGTCAACTTAGAAGCGCTGTCTAACTTTGGTACAACATCAAAAGATCTTTGTGAGAATATTGCTGAGAACAATGCTTTATATCGATTTCGTACTTGCCTAAACTTAGCTGTATCGAATAATATTCGTTAACAGACATTGCCATTAACTGTGGACGTGGAATACCCGGTGATCAAGGTCGAACCATGTTCTCTGGACTTTGGCTTCGTTACCGATGGCGACTCCAAGAAAACCTACATTTCCGTTTCCCACACCAGCCGTGAGGATTATTTATTTTAATTATACTTGTAAAATTAAAGCGTTAGGCTATTTATTTGGTCAAGTAGCAAAAGAACGACGTTAATTTAAAGATATTAGTAGCTTGATTTTAGCTGTTTATTCAGTACATAACAAAACCAAAATATGAAGATTAATTTATTATCAGTTGCTGAGGGAACTATGAGTTGTCATAATATTTATACAACAATGTTCATATTTAAGATTTCAACTAGTAGATACAGAGGGTCGAATAGTAAAGTCTTCATTGGAATGCATAGACTACTAAAAATGCTTATAACCAGTATAGACTAACGTAGGGTGATAGATTACGTCTCGAGTGGTGGATTGGGATGGATATTATATAGAACTTCTCAACATCAACGATTAGACCCGCCCTGCCCCGTCTTATTCCGCGTTAGACTGTAAGATCGACACCTGACTTCATCTGACATATTTTCACTGGATTTTAGCGTTTCGAACTAACAACAAGAAACCGCGATAAGAGGGAATCAAGGTTTAGATTATGAAATAGTTAAATACATTGCTAATGGTTGTGCTTATTAACCTACCGTTTATTGTGCACCTAACGTTAGAGTAAGTCAATCAACTTCTAAAACTGAATGGTCAAGGCTGCAAAGTCAGACACAATTACCGCTCGTCAATTTTGTATTACCCCGGTATACTACCGACGCATCACCGAAGGTGTGCGCCGACGGTAAAATCGGACCACGTGCTCACTGTGTGAGCTCAACGGCCATCAGCGTTTTCCCGACAGTCGACCACAGGACAAGTCCATTAAAACACCACTCACTCAAGCACACGGCATTCACTCAACGTGCACAAACCACCTCATAACTACACCATAAACGGGTCACCGAAGAATAACTGTTTAGCAATGACTGCGGCCTGGATGATCAACCAAAGTAGATGAACAAAACACTGCAGAGACCTAGAGTCATTAATCATTCTATCACATTCAAAATTACCTAACCAATACCAAATGTATTGGTAAAGTTAGCAGGGAAACTACATCTAATTACTCAACAAATACTACGTTGCTCAGACCGGGGTACAAATACGTATAATATAGGGATTCTACAAATATAATAAACAATGAAGACCCACGTTATATACATATAACTTACTCAATTTAGCTAGCACGGCTGACCATGTTTACATCTGACGAACAACCTTCCTGTCCTGCGCCTCTAGACTCACTGCCCAGTGACCGAGGCTTCACAAGACATTCCTCCTAAGAGCTTTCATCCATTTTCGGGTCTGTTTAACAGACGTGTCAACCTTTAGTTTTTTGCCGGACCGTGGTGACCGACCTTTTTACCGTATTGCTCTTAAGAACGTATACGAACCTCACTTAAGAATACTTAAGATCATAAATTTTATTAGGGTAGGGTTTTTGTCCGTCTTGACCTTAAATGGACGTCAGTGCACGTGTGGATAACCGTTTCTTAATATTTCGTTGCAACTTAACGGAAATAACAATAATGTGAAATTTTATTATTTTATTATTATAGTCGTACTACGTAACATTACATTACCTAAACTTTTTAACCGACTTCAAAAACACAAACGAGTAGGTTATCAATTCGGCTGTATGTTTGCCATACGATGTCTCCGTCAATTCTGAACCGATTCTCAAAATTCAATCAATTTGCAACCGAAAGGGAATACTGCCGAGGTGGTCCAATGATCACCAAATCAGGATCTGATGATGAGATCCTAGAGAAATCGATTAAAACCCTCAAATTTTACAGCCCCGACAGTGTGTTTTAGCTTGTATTTGTAACTATATAGGTAGGACCTGGAAGCAAGGACCTTTAGGAGTTAGATAAAAAACTCTTTCAAGTAACTAATCGGATTGGATTCGATGATGGGATCCTAGAGAAATGGAGGGAAACCCTCAAATTTTTCAGGCCCGACAACGTGTTTCAGCTTGTTTCTCATGCTATATATATAGGTATTTGCATTAAGAAGTCGTTATGTCATATGCTGAGCTTATGGTGGAAGGGTTTTTGACCTTTAGGAGTTAGAGAATAACTCTATTAAAAATCTAATCATGTATTGACCTTGTCATAACTAATAGTTTTACCAACTAACATTATTGTTATGTTTTTGGTTTTTCAGCTACGGCGACCCTTGCCTTAGTAGTTCAAAGAGACGGTTGTGAAGAGTTTGTGTTTTGGCCGTCTATCCTCCAGGTGGCGCCTGGCTGTAGTGAGCGGATTTACATACAGTATACTGCCGTGTAAGTTACTTACTGGTACTTTAACCGTATTTAAGATGTGATTCAACAGCAGATTTGAACTTGTGAAACACTCGAAACAAAATATAACCTTCTCCTTCCTTCTAAACTTCCTTCGACTCATAAGCATCGTCTTGTTTATATTTTTCTGGGACCTTTAACTCGCACTATACATTGTAAAACATAAGTAAACATACTCACAATATGACCTTAAAATGTGACTCTCCTTTTCTGTAACACTACATGATTTTTACGGCAACACATATCCGTGGCTCTGTAGTACTGAAAATTGGTTCCGTGTCCATAGCTGGCGTCACGGTCCCGCTGAATGTTGCATAACAGTGCAGGAGTGCTCCGCGGCGGGGGGCTGGTGCCGCGGCGCGGTGGCGCTGCGCGCGTCGCCGGCGCTCGACCACAAGTGGCGCGCCGAGGTGCACGACCACACCGACGACGAGCACTTGTTGCCCGCGCGCGTGCAGCTCTACCTGCCGTGAGCGCGCACCGCGCAGTGACCACACCGTACCGAGCGCAATTATTCTATTGTTGTAGTTTGTTAATATAATGTATTGTTATTATCATATTGGAAACTCGGAGTTTTATTACTGAATATAAAACGTTTTATTTTACTAAGATGAAAATATCTACTTCTGGTATATTATAAGACATTTTAGGGATATAATGGAGAATAAGGTATCGATGACATACTTTGTAAGTTAAAACCACCTGTCCACGGGATTAAAACTATGAAAAAATAACCATGTATTCAACAACTTTCATATATAAATATGTTATTACATTGATTATCAATACTTTTCAATTTTTAGATGCTTTCCTTTAATTTTCTACCTTGATACTAAATATCAAGTTTTTAGGTTGTCTGGAAGTGTATTAGGTTTTTGATCTATAAGTCAGTGAGTGAGTCAGTCAGAAAAATTCAGGGTTTTAAACGTTATTATATTAATAACCGATGGAGCAAAATTTGGGTTCTAGACAAGCTAAGAATCTTTACTAAATTCGCCAAATTTTATAAATGTAGGTTGAACAGTTTTCGAGTTGTGAAAGGGTCAAAAGAACTTGAAATGTTTCGTGTAATATTACACACGGCTGATGCGTCGCCAGTTGCTTTGCTTTGAACTTGGCTGAACACGCTGCCGCGTGTCTAGATAAATGATGTTTATTTCTGCAAGTAAATCTTTTCAGATATTTTTACAAGTCTGAGTTTACAACTAGAACTAAAGTTTACACCACACTGTGAAGAAACGCCGAAACAATTAACAAAGGTATATTTTCAGTAGAATGTTAAAAAAAACTATGTGAGAGCTGTATTGGGTCTGGATTGGCCTTTTGAAGAAAGGGCCATAAGTTTACCTGAATAATTGCTGATACGGCTTACAAACGGCCTAAGTAAAAAAGCTTTTATCAAAAGCAAATATAGCAGAAAAAGTGGCTCAAACAAATGATGTGAAGCAGCTTTCAAATTAAATTGTTGCCTTTAATCGGCTCAACAGAGGAGTTTGTTTTATTAAACTTTTACAAGACGGGTATGTTTTTTGTTTATGAATTGAATGAAAATTGCTAAGCTTTTTCCAACATATTTTGTTGATCCCTGGTGAGCTAACGAACATGTGTGTTTTACACATCACAAGAGATTTATGTTTATGGGTATGTAGAAGTCTATCAACTTCTCATTGTTTTACATTCAGAGCTTACATTTCGTAGCAGTGCAATATAATATATTCAATCTGAGTAAAATTTTGTGGTCAATTTTACATAGCTTTGTACATTATTTCGCGTATAAGGTAAATAGGATTGCACCAAACCATTCCAACACATAAAATTAATAGCATCAGAATACAGTAACAAATGCGATTGAATCGCCAAAATGGGTGAATGCGTAGTGAAAGAATGCGATTCAAGGTCACAAAACCATAATAAATCATGCGAAATTACTTATAACGTGTAAGTTTATGGTTTTTGTATTGATAATATCGTAAATAAGGCTATAATTGAAATAAAACATTGATAATTGTGATTTAGAATCAGTGTTACCATTAAAAAATCATTTTTGTTTTCCCACATTAGTGGGAGAATTTATAATTTATGAAATAATATGCTTTATACTGTTTTTAAACATTTTGTCAATAATAATAAAATATAGGAAGAACGGTAGTTGTTGGGGCTGAATCGATCACTTTTTTAGGGACCCGTTGAACGTTCACCTTCTGCCAAGCTCGCAGTGCTGGAGACTTTTGTATAAAAGAATTAATTCATTCATTCATTTTTCTTAATTAATTATCAAATATAAATAACAATTGTACAAAAAAAAAATATATATATAAAATATAAAAGTAAATAAATATAAATAAAAAAATTTTTAAACAATTTCAACTGCAAGAGCAGAACAAATTAATCACATGATTCACATAAATATGAGTTTAATTTTGTATTACCAGTTTCTATATAATATTTAAAAACTTAATTCAATTGAATGTTTAATTTATTAATTTCACGTTTAGCGCATTAATATGCAACCTTCACGAGTTACAGGCTTATTAAAATATTGTCTGACATCAAGTGTTATTGAGCAGAGAGTCGATAGATCTTGATGTCGGTGTAATGACTGAAGATGTTTAAATAATGGATCCATTTCGTAAGTGATATGAGTAAAGTAAATTCCAACATACGTTACAGAAAGATGGTGTCAAATTTTTGCAGATTTATTGTTAAATGCCACTATATTCAGTCAAGTTCTATCTCTCTCAAACGAAATTTCCAATGTCACTCAGCGTTTTATGTAATTTTCGATACTACTATTTAAATATTATGAAGAGTGAATTAAGTCTAAAATCAATAATTATACATGAACAGTGTTTAAGGTAAATGTACGAACATATTTATAGACATGCACATCTACAATATCGTCTAACTAAACGTAACCGCTTTAATATTGATGACGCTCTATGAGCTTTGCATATTTAGCACTCGGTGCACGTTGGAGCTCACCCTGAGGTAGTGACACTCGTAACATACTATAGTTAGTATTTAGTATGTGGCGTAGGTCCGTGTGGTGACGGATTAAGAATACAAATTGTCACCACCCCAATTCATCCCGTGGGTGTCGTAAGAGCCACTAAGGGAGAAAACTAAGCAGGACAACAGCACTGCAAAGAGAAGGAAAACTTGAAACAAATCCTATACCAACCCGTATGGCCAGCGTGGTATAGTAGGCCAAAATCCTCCTTTCTAAGGAGAGGCCTATGTCCAGCAGTGGACTAGTATAGGCTGTTGATGATGATGTGGCGTAGAGTGGTGTAGGTCGTCTGTAGACCCTCGGCCGAACAACTATAACCCGGCAATCTCGTGCGCGTCCGTCCCGCGGGATGACAGACAGTGGCGGGGGCGAGGTAGCGCGTCATTCTAGCACACGGCTACACACGAAGAGAAGCGTTTCCCTTCCCCGCTACACCACTCGCTACCCGCTGACATCTTGAGTACCTCGTCCCCGCCACCGTCTGTCACCCCGCAGGACGGTCGCGCACGACGTTGATGGACTATAGGTCAGTGATATTAATATGCGGTGTCATATAGCAATTAGTTACTACGAGGTCGTCATTGTACAGTTTTAATGTTTGTAACCAATGATGTTGATCTATATTGGAAACAATGAAAGGGTGGCTATGCACTTATGACTGATGATTCGCAGGTGTCCATTTGGGTTACTGCCACACTTCCCAACTGGTGATCCGTCCGCTCGTTCGCGCCCAACCCCAAAACAAAGATAAGATGATAAGTACACAGATCACTTCTAAATATTAACTGGCGCTGTGTCAGAGCTTGTCACAAATTAAAATCTTGTGTATCTGATATCAAGGCATTTATGGCCGTCCAGACATCTTTGTTCGGAACTCTCCTCTCTCGTCATCTTCTGTAACCGTGGCCATTACATGTCGATCGACGGTATGTTGAAAATCGTGACCATTGCTGGCTGAGTAGTAGAACATTCAATGATGTTATTGTAACGCGTCTATGGAGTTCAAAAAATATATTCTTCATTTAAGACCATTTCTTATTTTATTTTTCATATTCCAAAATGGTAACGGAACGTGCAACATGGTAAAAAAGTTTCGGCATACTTTTAGATTGACAAAAAGGTGTTTAATTCTTTTTGAATTTTGAAGCTTAAAAATTTCAAATGTATCATGTTACAATACTGGTGTGACAACACAAGTGTTATCGCGTCACTTAAGTGCTTGCGTGACTATATAGGATATGTAATGCGATAATTTTAACACACACAGAATAAGTACATTATATTCACTTTTTAAATAGACTTGGATAAATTGCGTCTCCTGTTACTACACAATAGAGTATAAAGTAGCTTGAACAAAGATTGTAGTGAAAGTAGTTTGTTTTCTTTTGTTTTAACATGTAAATACGGTCTTAAGGGTTGTAATGGTCATATTGGACCGGGAGGGCACTGTCGGGAGATTGAAAAGATGAAAAAAATAGAAATATAAATAATCATGAAGCTTTATTTAAGAGCAAATTTCAATTAAAAACCGGTAATTAAGTGCAATTTGTTCGGAACCTCTTCAGAGAATGTTTCAATCGCAATAAAGAATATGGCTGTGTTTCCGAGGATGCGTAGAGAGGCAGGTGTTGGTTAAGAACCAATGGAATCACTTCATTGACCTAACCTCGCTCAATGCAGCTATGCTGCTAACGGCTCTGCTTAGCGAGGTTTTTAGTACATGCAAAATAAAAAAAAGCATGTGTGCAAGAGATGTGGGCTAGGCACGGACGCAAGCGTAAAAAAATCTCGCTTCGGAAAAGAGCCCACTACACATTCTCGCAGCGTTTCACAGCGTCGCTACGCATCCTCGCACCGCCCATTTGCCTTGCACATATCTGGTGGCAAGGCAGACTTACTGTCACAAAACTCATTATTAATCTAATACTTTGCGTCACCCATATATCCACAAACTCCCGCTGTGACCCAGTCTATGACTGTATTAAAATAACCTTTTTTTATATGTTACCCGCGCATGGCTTAAGAAAGGTTACAAGCTCAACATTAAACAAGTATCAAGGTATCTTGAATATTTATACGTTCGCCGCAAGTTAAACAGGAAACCCGCATTTATCACCCTTGAGCGATAATGTCTGCACGAGTACGTAGTTATCGCCACTTCAGTCATTATCTAGGGTACAGTATCTGCTTTAGCGCTTTTAGAGAGAGTGTAAGATGTGAATACTAATTTCTTATTTAAATGAATTCCTTTTGCTCAGAGTAAATCACTTAATAAATCTCTCAATCTTCGCGACAGGTGAGCTAACGCGAAAAGGGCTTTCCCCGTGGTTACCCTGGGGTAACAATTGACTGAACTTCGGGGAATCAGTCAACTCGGCACGGTAAGCGCTATTATAGACGGATGTAATATTGATTGTGCTGGGGCTTGGGGATTTTAATGCGCATCCCTCAGAACCATTTTGT